AAAAATAACTTGACCTTTGGAGACATCATTAATATAAATAATTTTTATGGCCGTTGAATAAGAAGTGTTTCTTTCACAAGAAATGTATAAAATTAGTGCTGTATTAGACTTACGGTACCTAATTTACATACTGTACAGATGATAATAAACTGAACTTACTAGCCTAAAATCTCCGTAGCGTGTTGCCAGGCGGCAGAAAGCATATATATAATTATAATAAAGTTACAATAAATTAAGTTAATATATAATTATATATACAGTACCTAATTTATATATAATTAATATATAATTATATGTACAGTACCTAATTTATATATAATACTGTACAGACGATAGTTAAACTCAACTTACCCGCCTAAACTCTCCGTAGCGTGGCGCTAGACGGCGGAAAATAGTTCGGCTGCTCATCCGCGATGACGAGTTGGCGATGACGTTTTACCGCGTTTTACGCGCTCCGTTATACGAATACTGCCACAATTTTTTCGCCGCGTTATAGGAATCTACGTTATTGGAACCCGCGTTATAGGGTCTACTGTATTTGTTCGAATTCATGCTTATATCGATATTGAACAATTCCAAACTCTCGGTTTTCCTATGAAACGGTGAGCGTTCGGGTGATCGGTCGTAGCCCCGGCGGACGAGGATCGCTGGACGATGCAGATGTTCGGTGTTAAGCTGCGGCGTCCTAGGTGATCGGCGGTAACACAACACAATAGATAAAGCACAACTGTAGGCTTAATCCAGAGACCCTCCTTCGACCTTGAAGTTCCGATTTTTATAGTTTTTCCCCCACTATTCGCATTTCGGATTGGTCCCTCCTCCCATTCCTCGCTTCCGATTGGTCTCTCCTTTGTCTCCAGGTGCAAGACGAAACATTTTCGGGTCGCGGGAAAGGTCCGATTCGAGATGTCCATCTGATACCTCTGTCGACTCTGCTCGGTGACTGTTTATAAAGCAATAACACCTGCACTCATAACTCAGTCCGTTGTTTACCATTTTTTACGTCTAAGTAAATTTAACGATCATTTTCATCTTTCATCTATCAAAAGTTTCCCTTGTTTTGTTCGAAAAGGTTTATCTCGGCCAACATTTTATAGACTCGCGAGTCAAAGATCTACCTGTTTATGAGCGCTCGTATTAGAGTTTGTCTTCCGCTAAGACCTTGACAGATAGTTTGACACATAACTCGAAACGTTCCGAGTCTCATTGTTTACATCTTGTGCCGCGCAAGAATTCCACGGTTTACTCGAGTTTGAACCTCGTCTGGAAACCCACACAACGCAGAATTTTCCGAGTTTTCTTCACATTTGTAATACCTAAATAGGGGTCAGTTTCCCATTGAAATTTCTCCCGAGAGGCCCTCCACCCTACGTGTCATGTTATCATAATATCAATCAATCGATCTTTATTTGATATAACGAGTGTTACAAAGGGAGTTAAAATTTTTTTTAAGTTCGATACATGAACAAAGAAATTATATAATTTATACAAAGTTAGCATTGCAAAATTATCACCAAATAAAATTTGGTAACAAAAATCAGATGGCAGTGTAGCAACTCGAACATCCATAAGAATACTGCAAGATTCGAGGTGTTTTCTCATATCCATTGCTGTTCCACAAAAAGAACATCCGGAGTCATATGACATTAAATATTTTACCATTTAGGTTTATCGAAAATCTATTTAGTCTAAATTGGGCAGCAAATGACTTTATTTTATAACTCAAATTAGACAGTAAATAAGGCGCTGAAAGCACTATCTCTGATACGTTGAGCCCCTCCCTCACCATTGTGGGTTGGACCAAACCTACCATTGGGAGTATGGTCCAACCCACAATGAACAGGATTGAAGGCCTTTTAGAATTGCCTACCTGTATCTGAGTGGAAAAACCACTGAACATTTGTAGTTTTTTGTCAGTTTGCGTACCGCCGACAGTCTGACAACGTAGAATTTTCAGAATTTTCTTCACGTTTGTGACACCTAAATAGGGGTCAATTTCCCATTGAAAGTCTTCCCGAGAAACACTCCTCCCCACGTGTCATGTTACACCATATACAAGTAATCTAATCCCTTTTAATATTCACATGGCAAAAGAGTAATATTAATTATTAATAATGACAATGGCTACATCTAAATTGATATCTGTGCAATAGTTTTAATGTATGCAGTGTTGCTGTTGATGGCAGTTTATTAATCAATTATTGTACAATAAATAATTAAAATCACTGTAACATAGTTCAATTATATTAAAGAAATTTCAAAATATGCTCTCCCCCTTTCTCGAAGAGCATATGTAACTCAAACTTCGAATTCTTTGGATTTTTGTCCCGTATCTCGAAAAAACGGCTCTCCGAAAAATTGATGATGTCATCTGTTAAAAATTAAAAAAATTGATGTGCATATTTGCGCAAAACGTTTTATGACTTAAATGCCAAAGGCACTAGCTTTAATAATCATATAGTCACAAAGAGAAATACTAAAACCTTAGGTAAACTTCAAAAAGAACTTTTAGATCAAATAAAAATTATTCACCTTTTCAAAATTCGAGTCGACAATATCTAATTTAGAAAAAATTCAATCACCGGTAATAAAGAAAATCTGTGTAAATTAGGATTCAAACATACAATAAACTCTGAATGTTGTTAGGAGAGCACACAGATCGAGTAAACTAGATACGCGATATTCAGAGCTATACATGCCTATTGCAAGTTCAGTCAAATTTATGCCTTTGCTAACCGTTTGCATTTCGAAGCAACTTACTTCTGTTCCCAGATGATATGGATAGTCTATAGAAATATAAAATAAATTAACACTTTGGATTAAGTAGAAAAATTGATTTTTTTCACATAGATTGCCAGATTCGCACTGTGCGTGAACACAGATTCGCTCAATGGACAAACCTGACAAACTACAAAATATTGACGGTTTAGCTCCGAGAAAATTCATTTTATTCCAAGCAAAAAAAAAAATAAAGTCGACGCTTTTCCTCGATTATAAGAATCTGGAATTTGACATATTAGAACGCATGAACATTCAACTGAACTATCTTGATTTGTGTGAAGGAATACCACTCATACTTTCGTAATGAAAATATCAATTCTTTCTTAGTTTATCTATATAAAGGTATAAAAAATATACTATGATTAGTGTAATTACTTGTCTGAGGAATTACATTTTATGGAAAAAATCCAGGTGCGATTTGATTTGGAACAGACTTCTTTTAGTAATTTGTTAGAAACAAGGTTTTCAGTTCATTTTTATATTTTTAATAGTTAAGCAAAAATTCCGTTGGAATTATAAGATTTTAAATCTCCTTTACCTCGTTGCGCAGATAAATCTGTATACTTCCTCAAATTCATTCTACAAGCATAAGAAAACTTCATTACTAATTCGATTTATAACACACCGATATCTTAATATTATCCGTAATTTTTTCGTCCAATGGTTCTTTCTATTTTTTAATATTTGAAGACAAGTTCGCCCAAATAGGGATCACCATTTTTTTCCGAGAAACACCCCCGAGAAAGTACAGATGGTAACAAACAAGACGTTCGTATAACACCAGTTCTGATTTTAGAAAATCTTTGTGTTTTTAATTGGAAATCTTTTTGTTTTTTTAAAGGACTTTTTTAAAACTTTTTGGCGGCTAGTAGCCTAGAAAGGAAGGTCGGTCGCCGGAAATGTACTGTCTAGAACGCAAAAGAAAAAAATGGTGATCCTTATTTGGCCGAACTTGTCTTCAAATATTAATATTATCCTGTAAAAATAAACAATTTAATCCGTGTAAAAATGTAAAGAATCTTGTAAAATTAGGCATTTTTTTTTTGTAAAATTAATCTAGTGTTCCATTCAAAAGAATAAATCACTCAAATGAAAAACATCATCAAAGAAATCTTTGTTAAATCATTCGTCATTCTTTGGAAGCAAAATATTTCTATATTGCAATAGGCTGTTAATAATGTATTTCCTATAATTCATTGGTTTTCAACGTTTACTTGTTTTATTCCAATTAATTTTTCTTTTTTTCCTTTCTTTTGTTAAGCGATTTTCTTAGTTGTCAGCTCAAGAAGCAGTTTGAAATATATTTTAGTTATGCTTATAGAAAAAGCTTATAACAAAATTTTTATTTTACAAAACATCAATTTTCATTAATCTTTTTAAAATAAAAAATTGATTTTCTTATTTAAATATATTATACAATTTCGAAATCTAAATTCCTTTCACAAAAATTCAGATTTTAATAAGAAAAATTGAGTTTACTCATTAATTTTCTGAATTTAAATGTAACAGGTACCTTTAACGAATTTTTAAACAATTAACACTTTAATTATCTTACTCCATAAATTCATATAAAAGTATGATTTAAATCAATCAGTTTTTCTAAATGCATTGATTAGAATTTATATAAATTCTTACATTGTTATTTACATTCCATCATACAATATTTTATAATTTATATCATCCATTTTTCTTACTCAAAAATTCAAATAATACTTTCAAATTATTCATTTGATAAAAAAAAGCAATCTGTGAAAAATCAATCCAGTCTGAACAAAAATATTCAAATTAGTCTATAACAGAAAATTAACATTATAAAAGAACAATACTTGTTTTTAGAACCAGTAATAAATTATTATTAAATAAGTAAATACTACATGGTTCAGTGTTTATTTAGTCATTTTCAATTTGCTGTAGACTCATTTCCTTTACATACAAACGCAAATAAATCATTTCCATTTCATAATCTGCATATTTTAACTAAGTAAGCTAATTATATGATTTACCAAATTAACTGCAAATAAAAAGTGACAGATTAATTTAATTGGTTAAATTGAAATTTAAGTTTTAAACTGTTTACAAAATACCATCAAGAGTTCAAATATTTCAAGTGAATATTGATCCTCGATTTTCCAGGGCACAGAAATGAAGATATACAATTTATAAATATACGCATATAATTTTACAAAAATAAATATTTACAAAAATCAAATTGGCACTCTACACAAAATGATTTTATGGAAATTAATATATTGTATCCTTCAAACAGGGTCAATAAAATAGATGTCAAGTGTATCTGTCAATGGATAATCGAGAGTCAACAAATAAGGTTATCAATGATAATTAATAGATTTTTTTTCAAAGAAAGAAATTCAACTTTTATTTTTTCATTATTCCAATTTTAATTTCATAACTTTTTTAATACCATTTTTATGAATAAAATAACTTTCATTGCTGTGACCAAGATGACAGAACTTTATTATATTTTTTATTTATTTTTGTTTTAATCCTCTTTCATTTTAAATATCTCTTTTAAAATTTTATCTTCAATAATTTTGCAATGTTATATTAAATATGGTCAATATAAATATTTTTACATTTTAATTATTTTATAACTTTTTTGTGTGTAATCTCCAATTTTCTTTAGGTTAAATTTCAACCTGGAGAAACAAAAAACAAACTGTTTGATTTTCTAGTATAAAAGATTCAGACATGTAAAAGCAGTTCTATAAGAAAACATTTTGGCCCATATCATAAAATATGGGAAAAATAACTCCCTTTTTAATCATGCTTTGTTCATATCCTTTATAGTGGTCTCCTTGGAATTTGCATTTCTCATAGCCTGTTCAATCATAATTGAGGAATGTATTCAGTAGTCTTCCAAGAAAAAGAAATTTCCACCTTTCTTTTGTTCTATGTCCTATAAAATTCAAAATAAAGTTTCAATATTAATTTTAAAAACTCACTATTGACCATTCTAAAATATTAATAAATAAAGGAAAGTCTAATTCAGATTAGAAACATTTTGGTAAATTTAAAAATGAACTTTTAGAGAATCTTTTTTAAAATATTATTTAATATAATTAAATCATCATATTAGTATATTAAGAATTTAACCATTATTTACAATGTTTATTTCTATTTAATAAAACATTCATTTTAAATATTATGAAAGATTTTCCTCGTAAAAATTCAAAAATGTTTTCATAACACGCAGAATAATTTTCACGTGTTTAAAACATCCTTTATATTGATTTGTTTAAAAAAATTATAATCTTAACCTAGTAATATACATTAAAAATGTTATATCTATATGATATAAAGCATTCTCATTCCTTCATTCAATGGAAATAACAAACAAATTTTAGGCAAACTGGATTGACAAAACAATTTACAGTTAGTCCCCAACTTATTGGACTGTCTGTATCTGTATTTACAACAGCCAAAATTAACATATGAAAAAAATTTCAAGTTTAAACAATCAGTAGCACTTTTTAATGGCATGGTACAATAATTTCATGCAATAAGCATACACACACTATCACATTATATAACAATAACTTGTAATTTTTATTCATGTTTAACAATAACTATGATTTGTGTACGATTTGTTACAATTCAATTTATATACAGTAATACCTCGACTTACGCGAACCCAGAGTTACACAATTTTCAAATCTCGTCAATTTGTCTTTTGTTTGAGTGCCATGCAACTCTTGATTACTCACTCCCCCACACTATTGTTCAGCTTACATGTTTGGACATGTTGTGAAGAATCGACACATAGCTACAATTTATTTTGTGTTATTTATTTCTCTGTATTTGTTATATCTATGCAGACTTGAGAGACTATGTGGTGATTTCTTGTAATCGTAAACGAATCAAAAGGCGAGATAAGATTAACGAGAACATTTATTAGCTTACATACATCCGACTTGGATTTTACACAAATTGCGAAATTATACCCAGATTTATGCAAATTCAACTTACACGGTCATTGCTCAGTCCCACCTATCGCGTAAGTTTAGGGTATTACTGTACATATATATATATATACATACAGTGGGGTGATCAGTTAACGAACATAATCCGTTCCAAGACTTTGTTCATTATCCGAATTGTTCGTTAACCGATTATCGATTTACCATAGGTTTTCATGGGAATTTGATTAATTCATTCCAGAGACTCCAAAAAATAAAAAAAATATATACTTTTTCACTATGTTTATTTATATGTAATAGTAAAAATACATATATATGAAGTCTTGCATTTTTATTAGTCATGCTTTTTCCATTTGTGGAGGTTAAAGAATCTGTCCAATGTCAATTGCTTTTCTCTTTTCTTCTGAATTTTTCGAAAGTAATTAACAGTATTGTAATTGTAGAGATCCCCAACCCCATTAACCTTATTCTGGTTTAGATGCCACTTGGATGATCATTGTTCTGACATACCACTTCTTCAAAAGATCTTTGGCAGCAGATGTCGACATTTGGAGTTCTTCTGTCATCAGATCAGTTTCATGTTCCATTATAAGCTCTAAAACACTCTTTATTTCTCAGATGCGATTTTCATTACTCCATTAGCAGCTTGAGACTTCTTGATATATCTTTCATAGCTAAGATTGTGCCTAATGTAGACTTGTTCAAGCCATACTGCCTAGCAACATCAGACATCTTTGTGCCCACTTTCTACCTTGGCTATTATCTCTTACTTGGTTTCTATGATGAGCACAGTTCTTGACACTCCTCTTTTTAGGCTCCATAATATTATCATTTTCTTTTTTTAATTTAAAAAAAAATTCAGAAAAGCCCTTACAAAAATTCAGAGAACAGAAATCAACTAGCCCACAAAAAATTATTTAAATGCAAGGCCCGGATGACATTTGGTATTAAAACGTTAACAAATATTTGATGAGAGTTAAACTTTCACCTTTCGTAAATAAACTCTGAAAACACAAAACTTGGCAAGTGCCCCATCCTGCAGTCTCGCGAAGACTATAAAAAATTATTTGTCAGAAAGGTGAACAAAAAGCTGGAATTACAAGAGAAAGTTTCAAAATTCGGATGAATACTATCTGATCAGTATCGGGTTGAGCGTCGATGTTGACGTCTCCCGCACTCTGAAAGGTTTCGAATTGTTACCTGAAGACAAGGGAAAATCAATCGGTATTCGTTATTTTCCGTCGCTTCTTTTTATGTTAGTTCAGTAAAGTGTTCGTTATCCAAACATGTGTTCATTGTCTGTTCATAAAAATATTTCACGAAAGTATTCATTATCCAAACTGTGAGGGATGAACAGACACACAATAAAGTGTTATTTTAAATTTTAATTATTGGGAAATTCAATCATCTAAATTCGAGTGTTTTATCAAGTTAGGCTAAAAGCCATAAAAAAATTATTTCCCATGAAGTTGGTTCCTGGTTGAGGAGGATCCAGCTAGTCAGTGATGTGTCACCCGGAACTTTCGATAAAGTGCCCACATTGGATGCCAGACTCTTAACAACCGCCTGACCTTATGGGAAAAACCCAAGAGGAATAACAAGAAAGAACGAAAAAAATAAAAAAAAAAAAAAAAACAACCACCCAAAGTCAGTCATCTTCCAAAGTCCGTCCTCAAGGATTAATACCGTGACCAAGAATCCAGAATTAGGACCGTGACAATGATCGTGCCTCTTTAAGTATATCAGCTCCACTTCCGTGTCTTCACATCTCCTTGCTCCTGTTAATGGACAAGACCCAGAACCATTTGATCGAACATTACATCGGCGGTGTCATCTTACTACAGATCTTTCACTCAGGAAAGGTATTTATTAACCCGCAATTTGTTCGTAAACTCTCTCTCTCTCGAATGGCCTAGTATAATTAGGGGAATTTTAGGCATGCTATTGAATATATCTGTATTTTCTTTGGTTCTTATTAAAATTGTTATTTGTTAGTTAATATGGAATCTGAGTGAGTCACCTCCTCGTCTCTCTCCTCACCTCTACTCTGAATCCAACCGTTCACCTGCTACCGCTCGCATGATGTAAAGTCGCGATTTTCGAGTCCTGCGAGACTCAGTGGTGTCACATCCTGACATGGTGTCAAAGAGACACCGACCCTACGGTCACAAAACTGTTCATTAACCGATCACCCACTGTATATATAAAGAAACTTTCTGCAGAGATACTCAATCTGGGATTATCGTTGGGCTGAAATATGAAAAAATTGTAGACCTATAAATTCCCACTGTCGTCTGCCTGTCTTTCCTTAATTCCAAGAATGGAGTTAGATAGATGAAAGACAAGACTAGATATGGAAATCTTATAGGCAGTAGGTCCCAATTAACTATATGAGAACTTTCAATGCAAACCAGAAGTCAAGTTATCTCAATTAAAAACTTTTCCCTGAAAGCAGTTAATAGACGACTGGCACGACTCCATTGCTAATGGAAAAGTATGATGTACAGGGTGAAGACACTAAGTACTAATTTGAGACACAGAGTATATATTTTGAATTAAATAAATTAAAAATATGATTAAAAATTGTAGCCTAACATTATGACAATGCACAATAAATAATTGCTTGTTTTAATTTAAATTTTATAATACAGTTAACATGAATTCATAATAAATTAAATAAATAAAAATGAATAATTTTTGAATAAAATTAAATAAAATTGCAATCCTTTCTATGGTTTTTGGTATGGTATAATTTTTCATTTTTTAAACATGTCTCTCCACATGTATCTGTAAATCTTTGTTAATAAAACACCACAATTAATTAAAATATTATAATTTTTGGTGTGAATAAAGCTTAATGCACCTCAACAAAGTCACTGCATTGAATTATGATACATATGCACAGTAACTGATTCCCATTATCACCATTGTGTTTTTATGATACTGTCCCAAAACAGAAAGCTCCACTTTTAATAATGGATTTCTTAATACAACAATATTTAAATGTAAACTATTACATTGTAAGCTAAAAAAATCTTTAAATTTCAAACAATATAATTACTTATATATTATTTAACTAATATTTTTCACCTAATTATCATTAATACAAGAAATAGTTGTTATTCTTATTTTTAGAAAGTGAACAGTTACCTTAACAGAATTAAGTTTATTAATTCTTGGTCGGAAGTTGTTGGGATCTCTTCTGAATGTAATATTGAGTAATTCTAAAAATTTATTCATTCCTGCTAATAAAGTCTGAGGACTAAAAAGATATGAAGTTTGTTGTAAAATATATGTTTTCTACAATGAAACTTAATTTAATGTATACTTACGTATTAGCTTTCGTGTTGACAGACGGGATACCTTCAAATACAATCACACGATCTGCTAGATAAGTGGCCATGATAAAATCGTGCTCTACAACAAATCCAGTCTTTTTGGCATGAAGGATAAATCTTTTTATAACTTTTGCAGCAACTAAACGTTGCTCAGAATCTAAATAAGCAGAAGGTTCATCTACCAAATAAACATCTGCAGGTTTTCCAAGGCAAAGTACCAAAGCAACACGTTGAAGTTCACCTCCAGACAAATTTTGCACCTAATAAATATTGTAATAATTTAAGTAATTGTAAAGTAAAAATACTTAATTTAAATACCAATTATTACAAACCTCTTGATCCATTATATTGTCAATCTGAAGTGGTTTCATTACATCTGCTACAAACTGTGGATGAATATATGCATCACGAATCTTTTCATGAAGTAGCTGTCTTACAGTACCTTGAGATTTTGGAGATATTTTCTGTGGTTTATAGCTAATGTTTAATGAGGGTACCTCTCCTAAAAATATAAAAAATATAATGAAAATATTATTTATATTCATGAATTTTGAAAATATTTCTTCCGAAAGACTTAACAGATATTTCAGAAATAGCATTTTAATCATTTTAAATTAATGCTTATTATCTTATTTGATTAATTTTTTTTATTTATGTTTTTTAATTATATTGAACAGTAATCTCATACATTTATTATTGTGCTGCAATTTTCAAATTACAGACCTATAAATTCCCACTGTTGTCCATTGTCTGTATGCCTGTCTGTCCTTTGTTAATCTCAAGAATGGAGTTAGACAGATGAAAATCAATACCAGATATGGAAAACTTAAGAGGCCACAGACCCTATATATATGAACTTCCAGTTTAGACCGAAAGTCACATGTTTACTTTTTAAATTAAATGATAATTAAAAATTGCAGTCTGGCATTGTGACAATGTCACAATAAATAATTGCTCATTAATATTTTAAAAATTTTATTAACTCTATCTTAACTAAGCTATTTAAACCTTACATTATAGAAAAGAAATTTTAGATATTGAAATTAACACAATCATAATACAAGGTGTACAAAAATTATTCATTCCATTATATACGTTCATAAAAATTACATCAGTAAAGATGGAAAAAAAAACTGCAGCAGGTAATAAAGCAAACTGAAAAATTTTATTTTTCCTCAGTAAATCTCAACAACTATACTGTTTGTTGCACAATGTCCAATCTGTATTTGAATTCTCTCCAGGTGTTTTCTCTAATTTGAAGCAAAACTTCATGCTGTCCATTGTTTCATTGCTCTTTAATGCCATCGTTCACAAAGTGTACTTGAATTACTGCAATAGAAAGACTACTTGCCGCCACACATTACATGCTACGAGGAATTCCTAGACATATCCCTGCATGTCTGTATGCATGCTCAAACTTGTCACATGCCAACATTCTTGATATCCTAACATTCACCAAACTTTTTTGATACATTATATATAATGTTAGAGAGAGAGCCAGACAAAAATTTTCCCTTAACAGATCTGAGATTTCAGTTCTAAATATAAAAATTTAATTTAAAAATACACACTTCTGATTATTTATCTTAACAATTTCACTACCAACTGACAATGGTGTGTTTTTTGTGTCATTTAGACACTGGAAGTTTTGTTAAATTGCATGCATGTTACTTTTTGATACTATTTATTACTATCTGGAAATGTAAGCTGATGCTGATAAGGCAGACACTTGAAAGATATGTTTAGCACCGGCGATCAGCTGAAAGTTATCCAGAGTCACTACCATTTGTGGGCCTAAGCCCGATTGGTCTTGGTCTAATAAATGCTGATAAGGCAGACACTTGAAAGATACATTGCCAGTGCTACTGGAAATGTAAGCAACATTTTAGAAATTATATTTTATGCTTGGTTTCTTATTTTCCCATTTTTATATTTAAATATAATTGTTTTTTTGACATTTATGTCCTCAAGTAGGAATTGGTGACTCAATTTCATATAATTCTGTAAAGATTTCTTAAAATAAATAAAAATGTTTAATTCTTATTTGTGTATAACAGTGACATACTTTATAAAAAAACAAATAGGCATATTTGGTGCAACTTTTTTCAATGGTGGCAGTGAAAGTGTTAAGTTTCAATCAACAAAATATGAAAATTATTAGAGAGAATTAATTTTCTTTACTAAAATCTGACTAAAAATTTAATTTAGATTTCAGTAAAAAAAACATCTAATTCTCTCTAATACTCTAAATAATTCTATTTTTTGTTATACGAGACATGTCCGGAAAGTAAGTACCATTTCGTTTTACCGCCACCGCAGTGGTAGTATCGCAGTTCAGCACCTGCATACACATGTCTCTGGTTGATTGTCAGTCCAGTGACACCATTAGAGCCAGATTGTGTTGTTTTTCCATGTGTTAGTGAACGTTCAAAATGTTTAAGACGATTACCGATCCCGCCGACTGTGAAGTGCGTTCTGTAATACGGTTTTTGAACGCAAAGAATGTTAAGGCAGTTAAAATTCATCGTCAACTTGTAGAGATTTATGGTTAAAATGTAATGAGTGATGGAATAGTGAGAAAGTGGGTTCGACAATTCAATGCTGGACGCACCAATGTTTATGACGAAGCACGGAGTGGCCGGCCTTCTGTTGTCAATGATGGTTTGGTTGCAAAAGTGAATGAGAAAATTCTTGAAAACAGACGGTTCACAATAAGATTGCTTTGTGATGAGTTTCCACAAATTTCAAAAACTGTTTTGCATGAGATTGTCACAAATCAATGTTCAGCAGTGGATGTCTTCACTGGCGGCATCTTTCTTTGAAGAGGGTATAGACAAGTTCGTTTCCCGATATGACAAATGTCTGAACAATGGTGGTAACTATGTAGAAAAATAGTTTCCAACATGCTCTTTCATGTAAAAATAAATTTTGTTTTGAAAAAAGATTTTTTATGTGAGTTTTTCCAAAATGGTACTTACTTTCCGGACACGCCTCGTACAATTTAATTATTAAAATAACAAATTCAAAATACATAGAATTAAATTTAAAGTAATAAGTACTGTAAGTTATTATCAAACTTTGTCTATGTTGCTCTAATAAAATTTTACCTCCTTCATCTGGTTTTAATCGTCCAGCCATCATTCGAATAAAAGTTGTTTTTCCTGTTCCATTTTCACCTAACATAACAATTATTTCAGAATCTGTAAATGTGCCTGGATCTACAGCCAACTCAAAATCACCTAAAATTTAAATTTTAATTAAAATATTAATATTTACATATTTATTATTATGTAAGTGTAGTTTCATTAAATTTATAAAAATACTAGCTTACCCATCGCGCATTGCTGCGATCTCAGAAAAAAGAAAATTCAAGCAAACTCATTATAATAAAATTCAATTTAAATTTTATCATTTTTATTGAAACTTATTATTATTATTCATTTTCATCGAGAAAACATTTCAAAGTGTCATTTCAATTCTATTTATTTATTGGAGTGTTTGTGGATAGACGATATTTTTTATTTTTTCGTCTGGTGCATACATGAATAAATCAGAAGGTTTTCCGACGCATGAACTGGCCACATACAGTTGTCCATGCGAGAAGCACAGATTCTCCAAATTTAGCCCATACACACTCGCAGTGATTGTCAGAAGTGCGATATTCCCCATTTATATAAATATATATATTTTTAATCCTTTATAATTTTAATTATTTAATTGCTCCTTCCTCTCTTCCTTGGCATGTTGTGAAATTTCTGATAGTTGGATAATAAACCGTTTTATTGTAATTTGTCTTTTTAAATTATTTTGAGTCGATATTAAAATTTGGAAAAGGGGATCCCTACAACGGTAAAATAGGCAAATTTCCTCCTACAACTTCAGTTGTTGTTCGGGATACAGTTAAGGTTTTAACAAAGTTCGAGCGAATACATAATTAGCAAAAAAAAGTTGAAATAAAGTGATTAAACAAAAATTATTACAAATATCGTAAATAACAGTTCACAAATGCATATATAGAGATATTTTTTGAAGGGGGGAAATGGTCTTCACAATTTGAAATCGATCGAACACACTGTGCGCGAATGCTCGTGTAAACGCGCGCCATCTATCGTAGGATAAATGTACTTCGCGGGAGTGTATTAAAAAATTAAAAAAACTTTCCAAAGTTTTATGGCAATCGTACTATGCCACAAACCTTCGCCGGAGTATATTAAACAACTTCCCAAAGTTTCACGGCAATCGGATAAACGGTGTGGTAATGCATGAAGGACACACACACACACACACACACACACACACACACACACATTCATTTTTATATATATAAATATTCCTATAGTAATTAGAAAATTACTATTATAAAAATCAAAGATATGCAAAGAATATAAAAATCAAGAGCTTATTTTTTAACTGACATTTTGGTTATTATAAATTGTTTTCAAATCACCAATTCAAAAAATTAGTAATAAATAATAATAACTCTAAATTAAATCATAGGAATAGGTTTTTTCTTATTATTAATTTTTAATATGGGCAATTTTATTAAATTGATGTTGGCAACATGAAGATAAATAATAATGTATTTTCCTTAAAGATAACAAATATACAGTTTTCTTTTAAAGCTCAATAATTATACTTTTTTTGGTCAATAAAATTTTAAGATTATTAAACATTTCTTTGATATTTTCAGTTATAAATTTAAATGTAGCCATCATATATACCATTGTGTATACGTACATATAAAGCACATTAACTGTAAACCATTGTAAATATATATACAGTAGGTGATCAGTTAACGAACACTTTTGCGAAAGATTTTTATGTTCGGATAATGAACACCTCACAGAACAAACATAAGAAGCGATGTAAAATAATGAATACCAATTGGTCTTCCCTTGTCTTCGGGCAACAATCCGAAACTTTTCAGATGATGGGAGAAATCAACATTGATGATCAACCCAATTATAATCTTTCGCAAAAGTGTTCGTTAACTGATCACCTACTGTCAGACCAAATACTATCAGGTCAGTATATTATACTGATCTGATAGTATTTCGCAAACTTTGAAATACTCCCTTGTAATTCCAGCCTTTTATTTTTTTGACAGAAACAATTTTTTTTATAGTATTCGTGAGACTGTTGGGCAGGTACTCGTTAAGTTTGCATCTGCTTTTATTTTCGAAAAATGAGAGTATTATGCCAAAAATAGTGTGTGGGCCAAAGATATCTGATGTTGCTGGGCAGTATGGCTTGAAAGGTCTACAGTAGGATGCAGTTCAATCTTATCTAAGAAAGATACGATATAATCAAGAAGACTCAAGCAGCTAAGGAGTGACAAAATTACATCTGAGAAATAAAGAACATTGAAGAGCTGATAATGGAACCCGAAACGCATCTGACAACAGAACAACAACAAGAACTCTTGAATGAACACCAACAAACTTGGTGAGATATGTTTTCTTTTGAAAAAAAGGATTAATGCCAATATCTGCTATTAAAAACCTTTTGAAGAAGTGGGAGGATGTCAGAACAACAGTCTTAGAATGGCATCCAAACCAGGGTGAGGTTAATAGGCTTGGGGATCTCTACACTTACAATGCTATTAATTACTTCTGAAAAATCCTGAAGAGAGAAAAGCAATTGACGGTAGACAGATTTTTTACCCCCCACAAACAGAAAAAAACATGACTAATAAAAATGCAAGTATATATATATACTTGCATTTTTATTAGTCAATAATATATATATATATATTATTACATATAAATAAATGTAGTAAGAAAGTACAGTGGTACCTCAGGATACGAAATTAATCTGTTCTGTATCATGAAAATGTCGTAAGGTGAATCATTTTTCCCCATACGATTACATGTAAAACCAAATAATTCGTTCCAACACAAAAAACACACTCAAATTAAAGCTCAGTAGTACATTGAAAAAAAACTTTAGTAAGGAAAACACTGAAAAATGCATTTTGTAGTTGTAAATGTATAAATAACCATAATAGAANCAAAAGTGTTCGTTAACTGATCACCTACTGTCAGACCAAATACTATCAGGTCAGTATATTATACTGATCTGATAGTATTTCGCAAACTTTGAAATACTCCCTTGTAATTCCAGCCTTTTATTTTTTTGACAGAAACAATTTTTTTTATAGTATTCGTGAGACTGTTGGGCAGGTACTCGTTAAGTTTGCATCTGCTTTTATTTTCGAAAAATGAGAGTATTATGCCAAAAATAGTGTGTGGGCCAAAGATATCTGATGTTGCTGGGCAGTATGGCTTGAAAGGTCTACAGTAGGATGCAGTTCAATCTTATCTAAGAAAGATACGATATAATCAAGAAGACTCAAGCAGCTAAGGAGTGACAAAATTACATCTGAGAAATAAAGAACATTGAAGAGCTGATAATGGAACCCGAAACGCATCTGACAACAGAACAACAACAAGAACTCTTGAATGAACACCAACAAACTTGGTGAGATATGTTTTCTTTTGAAAAAAAGGATTAATGCCAATATCTGCTATTAAAAACCTTTTGAAGAAGTGGGAGGATGTCAGAACAACAGTCTTAGAATGGCATCCAAACCAGGGTGAGGTTAATAGGCTTGGGGATCTCTACACTTACAATGCTATTAATTACTTCTGAAAAATCCTGAAGAGAGAAAAGCAATTGACGGTAGACAGATTTTTTACCCCCCACAAACAGAAAAAAACATGACTAATAAAAATGCAAGTATATATATATACTTGCATTTTTATTAGTCAATAATATATATATATATATTATTACATATAAATAAATGTAGTAAGAAAGTACAGTGGTACCTCAGGATACGAAATTAATCTGTTCTGTATCATGAAAATGTCGTAAGGTGAATCATTTTTCCCCATACGATTACATGTAAAACCAAATAATTCGTTCCAACACAAAAAACACACTCAAATTAAAGCTCAGTAGTACATTGAAAAAAAACTTTAGTAAGGAAAACACTGAAAAATGCATTTTGTAGTTGTAAATGTATAAATAACCATAATAGAATAATAATTGATTTAAAAAATGCAGTTTTATTTACACTTTACTTTTGAGGATAGATGACGGTGGAGGTGTAAGATAGATGACTGGTGGTGGAAGAGGAAATGATACTAAAACTTAACTTACATACATAATGTAACAATAACTTAAAAATAACTTAGAAAAGATAATAAAATTACTGTTGTTTTATATATATTTTTAAAATTTTTATTCACTGCTTTTTGCTTTCTTTCCTTCACTTCCATCCGTACTTTCACTGGATAGAGGTCGCTTGGTAAAATATCTATCCAAAGAGGTTTGGCTTTGCCTACTTTTTAAAATGTTTCTAAAACGACTTAGGCAAATGTCATTACTCCGAGCGGCAATACATCTAGTGTGAACCTTTTTGGGATGTTTCAATAAAATCAGCCACTTTCTGATAATACCTCAAGATTTCCTTTATCGAGCGAGATCCTTCCATGATGAAGCAAATGCGGACCAATGAACAGAAGTGAATAAAAAATGGCGTGCTGCGAACTAATGTAACGTCATATGGTGAGATTTTGTTCATATCGTGGAGCAAAGATATGTTCAAATTTCATGTCGTATCCTGAAAATTTCGTATGCTGGGGCATTCATATCCTGAGGTACCACGGTATATATTTTTTATTTTTTGGGGTCTTCAGAACAAATTAATCAAATTCTCATAAAAACCTATGGTAAATAGAAAATCAGTTAACAAATAAAGTCTTGGAATGGATTATGTTCGTTAACCGATCACCCACTGTATATATATACACACACACACAAAATTATTTTTCTAATACAGTCCTCACAGTTAACATCTTTCATGGTTATACCCAGAATAAAAAGTTCCCCATACCTAGTGCAGAGTACAGCTAAAACAAAATCATTTAATTTTTCTTTTTCTATTGTTATATTTTTTATTTTCAGACTAGCTGCAAGGACCCGCTTCACTGGGTTTTTATTTGTTCGTACATTTGTATGTAATATAGTTTTTGTTTTTTATATATAAAAGACTGTTTTTCTAAGTAATCTAGAATCTAGCTGCAAGGACCTGCTTCGCTGGGTTTTTATTTGTGGGCAAAAAGTAACAATAGTGAAGATTAAGATAATTACATTATAGCCAATCTTACCCGTTTTCACAGAATGCAAGAATTACGACCCGTTTCCAGACTAATTAGAGACCTGGTCCTGATTCTATTTCTGAACGTCTTCTGTTCACGTCCAGTCAAACGAACTATTTTCAACGTTTCTGGAACGTTTACAATCGTTCTATAATCGAACCAATATTCGAATTTTATGTTCGAATTTAATTCGAACATAAAATTCTATAAAGTTCTATAATCGAACCAATATTCGAATTTTATGTTCGAATTAAATTTGAACAAATTCGAACATAACATTCGAAATAGAAAACCACTTTCAGCCCCATATCTCCCCCACCCTTATAGCTATTGAGACGCAACCCCATAGTGCACAAATGGAGACTTGGGGCTACTACCACATACAAACACCATTCACGTGCGATGTGTAGTTTTGGCAGAAAAGTGAAATATAGGGACATACACGTCCATATATATATAGATAATAAGGCATTCAGAACTAATCACTTGATATAATGCAATGAAATTTGTCCTATAAGTTTTTTGACTCATAATATTAAAAACAATAAGTCAGGTTGGGTGAAAAAGTTATAATTTGTGCATCATCATATCTGATAACATAAATATATACATACATATATTATCAGATGAAAACAGGTACAAGGGTCATTTTAAAAGAAAATAATGTTTTCATCTGACAAATTACACAGTTCTCCCCACCCCCACTGCTGCATCATGGACCTTTCCATTTTTTTTTGCACTGGTCTGACACAACAGCGAGCCACAATTGTTTACTGTTTATAGTGTGACTTTGAAATGTGTGACAAAATTAAAGATTCCACCAAGTGTGAGGTTCATAGTGTACAGTAATACCTTGACTTACGCGAATTTCAAATCTCGTCGATTCGTCTTTTGTTTGAGCACCATGCAACTCTTCATTACTCACTCCCCCACATTATTGTTCAGCTTACATGTTGGGACGTGTCGCGCGGAATCGACACATCAACACAATTTATTTTGTGTTATTTATTTCTGTGTTTGTTATATCTACAGAGACTTGAGAGACTCTATGTGGTGATTTCTTGTAACCGTGAACGAATCAAAAGATGAGATAAGATTAATTAATGAGAACATTTATTAGCTTACATACATCCGACTTGGAGTTTACACAAATTGCGAAATTATACCCCGACTTATGCAGTTATCGCTTGGTCCCACCTATCGCGTAAGTTCGGGGTATTACTGTAATACACTTTCCAAATGCAAAAACGTCCGCCCTATCAAAATTTACAGACAGATAACCAAAGTTTATAGGAATGTAATGAATGAAGCTTCAGTTCAAAAATGGTGCATCATATTTAATGGTAGGGTAACAAATATTCATGATGATGAACGCTTGGGCCAACCTTCAGTTGTGACTGACAAACTCAAATAAAGGATTGAGGAAAAAATTCAACAGGATAAATGTTTCACTATAGATGGAGTCAGTTCATTCTTTCCTGAAATTTTAAGAACAGTTCTTTATAGCATTGTTAATGGTGATTTGGGCTACACAAAAGTGTGTGCTAGGTGGATTCCTATACTTTTGACAGATGAACACAAATAAAATTGGATGGGAGTTGCACTGACTTTTCTCAGTCAGTAGAACAAGGATTACAAGGAGTTTTTTAACCACATTGTTACTGGTGATGAAACTTGGATTTCATATAAAACTCCACAAACAAAGTGCCAGTCAATGGAATGACATCATTCCGGATCCCCAACAAGACCAAAACAAGCCAAACAAATTCTGAGCACTAAAAAGGTTATGGCTGCAGTGTTTTGGGATCAAAAGGGTGTCTTACTCATCGACTACATGCCTAGGGGAGATCATAAATGCCTATTGTCAGACCCTTCACTATGCCGCACCATTCAAAACAAACAGCAGGGATTTTTGTCCAGAGGAATTGTGCTTCTTCAGGAAAATACATGTCTGCATGCTGCTGTGTTGATGAAGAACTTGCTTCAGCAGTTTAAGTGGGAAGTTTTTGAACATCCTCCTTATAGCCCAGAAGCAAGTGATTACAGTCTTTTCCCAAAATTGAAGGATTTTTTGGCTGGGAATCACTATGGAAGTGAAAACAAACTGAAAGAGACCATTAATGACTGATTCAAGAACTTGGCGGTAAGTGTGCAGAAGACATAGAAAAGCTGGTGATATGCAATGACAAATGTTTATATTTGTATGGTGACTACATAGAAAAATAGCTAAGATATCATGTGTGTTGTAAAATAAGTTTTGTTTCATTATCTTAAATAAAAATATCTAGAGAAACAAACGTTCTTTACTTTTAGAATGACATTTGTATTACATATATTATCTGTTTAATATTTAAACTTCTGCATATAATAATAAATATAACACATTCTCAAATACAAATTTAAAAATTGCTTTGTCATTCAATATAGTTATTAATCATATTGAATGTTATAAAAGGTTCATACACACAAAAATTTATCATAAAAATTAACTAATATTGGAAATTAAGAAAGTACCCAATCTTTTTCGCATCTTGGGATATTCATAACGACACATTCTCTTAATCTCTTCTTCAGTAGCTGTTTCAGCAACCTTGAAAACAAGGGAAGTATCTCGAAAACGTAAATTTTCTGTTGGTACAAAACCATCAAGAAAAATATTGATTCCTGTAAGAAAACATTTTCATAAATCTTTCGTGATGTGAAATTATATGAAATAATAAATAAAATTTTATCAATAAACTTAAAATATACAATGATAATTGTATAACTAATCTCTGATTTCATAAATGAGTATATAAACACATTTTATTGTTTATCATCAATTAAACAGCATAATAATCATTTCTTGTTTAAAAACTTATTACATACAGCTTTCTGCTCTGTGGATACTAAGAGGACCATTGTAGGCCCATTCAAATCCACATTTGAATGGGCCTACAATGGTTTGGCCAAGTCTACAATGGGATGATCAGGTGGTGAGGGATGGGACCCAACATATCCAGGATGGACACTCCCCAAAAAGTCCTGGGGTTTTTCAATCACCCAGATTTCATCCCAGATCCCCAGAGTGACAGGCTGATGCTCTACTACCTCAGCATTTGGTCAGACACAGATATGGTTAAGAGCTGTAAAAATTGATAGAAATTTTTCTATTAATTTTAAACCAGTACATAAATTAGAAGAATTAGTAAAAATCTAAACCTTTTACCCAAAAAAGTATTAAAATTTTGTGTGATACTTTACCTATACTTTATTTATTATTCAAATATCAAAGAAGTGATTTTCTCATTAACTACATGTTAAGCTGAAATCAATTCATACTTCATTCAATTCAACTTAACCTGTCCCATGTTGTTCCAGAATATTTTTGTGCTGACCTCATTTAACCTGAATATACTCATATCTGCATTGGAATGTTTTTGATACTAGATGCCATTATACGTCATAATTTTTATATTAAAATAAACATTCGAAATATAATTTTTTTTGTTTTTATATTCTTCAATATATTTATTTTGTTTGTGCAAAATAAAAAATAATTTTTAATGATACAGTAGCCACGATTATTATTAAAAAAAATTTTTTTCATTAGGCTTAACATCAACAAAACTTCAACATGGCAGCCACATGCAACAGAGAAAAATTTCAACTTAAAGGGTTTTGATCAAGATGACTAATCTAAATTAATTAGAGTTGAATTTCAAAAAAATCCTAAAAGAATATTTACTAATGCTTATTTTACAAGGTCTGTTCAAAAAGTATCGGACCTTTTTTTTTCCCACGTAAACCAATGATGCGCGAGAGGCCTCCTTCGGTGGAGTTGTGGAGGGGACAGTCATGCACAGCCCTGAATTTTTTCCCGCCTGCAGGAAGCGTCAGTCGTTGGCAATCGGCCTATGAGTGAGGTCATGTAGTGCGCTCTCGTCGGATTCCACTAAGCTGGAAAATGAATGAACAACGTGAGCAGTGATATTACATCAAATTTTGCCAAAAACCTTGGCGATACCCAAGCGTAAACCATTCGCAAGATTCAGCAGACTTTCGGGGACAATCCTCGAGGCCAAAAAAAGCGCGGCAGGTCCGCAGCAATATCAAAGATCATGTTGACAGTTTTTTCGACTCTCGTGGGGTGGTGTGTCGTGAGTACGCACCATAAGGCCAAACCATCGCAAAGGAGTACTACCAGGAAGTCCTTCGTCGTCTTTCCGATACAGTGCGAAGCAAATGACCGGATCTGTGGTCAATCAAAACTTGGCAGCTCATCGTGATAACGCATCCGCCCATTCTGAGCATCTGATTCGGGCTTTCGTCGCCAAACACAATACTCCTGTGGTTCGTCACGCTCCGTACTCTCCCCACATGGTTCCGTGTGACCTTTGGCTATTTCCCAAGCTGAAAATGCCACTAAAAGGAACCTGAATTTAGTCGAGAGAAGACATTGTGCGAAATCCGACGGACCAGCTGATGGCCATTCCAAAAGATGCGTTCCAGCAGTGTTTCCAGCAATGGCAGGAACGCTGGGAGAAGTGTATACATTACCAAGGAGACTACTTTGAAGGGGATTAGGGTTTCGTGCCTCAAAATCAAAAAATTTATTTTTGCCGACCAAAGGTCCGATACTTTTTGAACAGACCTCGTATGTTTGCAATTTAAGCATTATTTTATCCAAATTTTATACATATCCTGTAATAAATTTCCAGTAATATTAATTATTGTTTGTTGATAATTTTAAAATTTCAGTAATCAAAAAATCAGTATTCACAATATAAATAATTTATCATCATTATCAATTTTTACCTTTTATTTTCACTTAAATGATTTTCATTAATTATTATTGATCAAACCAGAGATAAAATTTTTGTAAATGTTCGTTATTACTATATTATTGTTTATTAAAATTCTAGTACTAATATTTGGAAATATTCACTTCGAAGACATGAAATGAAAATGATTACATACCTTCCCTAACAGAGAAAGGCATTGTAACAACACCATAGGCACCAGGAACTCCATATAAACAACAAATAAAATCAGATAAATAATCCAATACTGATAAATCGTGTTCCACAACAATAATATACCTAAAATTATTTTAAAAAAATAAAATATTTTAAAAGTTATTTTATCATCAACAATTATTATTATATTGCTACTACAAATATTAAAGTAATAAAATTATAAATATATTAAAATAAAAAACTGTAAAAGAAAATCTCTCATATTCCATTAGTATTAATTGTTATTAATAACTGCTATCATGCAAACTATTACTTGTGATTACTTGGTGACTGCTTTACAACAAAAAATACTAATCTACTGTACCAATCCATCTCTAAACTACAACTAAAATTAATAAAGCTTAAGAATTAAAAATAAAATGGCAGTTATAACAGCAATTTTTTTTATAATGATAGGAGATCGTAAAAATAATTAAGAATATATCAAACAATTTACTTATTTGGTAATATTTTGCTTTCAAAACATTATATTACAATTGTGTGAAATAAATGTAAATAGATCTTATTTGTAAATTTTGTAAATGCACATTTTATTATTAATATTAATATTATATTAATTATTATTTATTTATTTATAATTTTAAAAAAATATATAATTTCTTATACAAAAAAATCCACAATAATACATATTCAAATAATGCAAATATAAAAATATTGAGTTATAACGTATAGAATCATACAGAATTTTGTTCAGTAAATGTATTCTTTGAACTAATTTTGTTGACTTGGGAACAAACTATTCTCACAGTCAACTTAAAATATAAAATGAATAAGATTTTTTCAGTAACACATAAAATACACTAAAAAGTCATGATGTTATATATGCATTAGAGAAAAAATATAAAATAGTTTCAAAATTCTAATCATTTTCAAAGCAAATGAATCAAATTGAAATAATTCCAAAAACAAAGCAAAAATGAGATATTAAGTTTTGATATCTCAATTCAAATAGTATAAGTAAATTTTAATTTTTCAGTCTTAAATGTTTGTATTAATCAAGAATATAAATTATAAAGCATTTCTATACAATGTGACCCAATTTACAAATGCCTGATATACAAAAATTTGACGCAATGAGCTGTTTTCTTTTTCTATTTACTGTATATGAGCATTGATATTTCCAAGAAAAAAACAAAAAAGAGTGCACAAATGCAACAAAACTAAAATTCTGATGCACTTCAAGCAGATAGTTCATAGGTTCCAATCTCTGTTTTCTTTGTTTCATTCATGTTGTCTTCAGCACTAAGGGTAAATGTTAATCATTCTAACATGGTTATGCAATTTAATTAATATTTTTTTCCTACAATACAGATCCTTCAATGAATGAATACAATTTAATTAATTAAAACCAATTTATTTTACTCTATTTTCACAAAAAAAAAAAAATGACTCCCCAGATTTTTTATTTTTAGACTCAGGACCTTAAAACAAAAATGAAAAAAATTCATTTTTTTTCTGTATGCCTGGATGTTAGTGTGTCTGTGCTTTAAAGAAAGTGCATAGTTTTATTCACTCTCTTTAAAGCTTAATAACTCTTGTGCTTTTTGTCAAAAATTCCTTAAATTTTGTAGAAAGGTTTGTTTATTAGGGGAATTGATGCTATTCAATTTCGGTGATTAAAGGTCAAGGAAATGAATAAAAAAAGGGGGTCACGTGTATCTCCAGTAGGTTCAGACTTAATGACAATTTTACTTGTTATTAGCATTTACTATTCTTTTATAAAATCCATCCCGAATTCAGAATTTTGCTTTTTTCCATTTTATAATAGTTAAATATAAAAAAAATTTTTAAAATAAAATATCATAACAAATGGTGCTACCATACTTGCCAGGAAAGTTAAGCAACTTTTTTGCTGGATTTTCTTACTACCAAATAAAAATGTCTCAACTTATGTATATGCTTATGTTGTACTTGTTTCACTCATTTTGTATTAGCTCCTTTTACATTGATGAGTAACCTATAAACACTTTCCTTTTATTTATTTTATTCAGTGTTATTGGTTGACTGGGTTATGCTGGTTCAAATTTTTGTCATAAGAAATAATGAAAAACTACTAGTTGTTTACAAGAGAAATGAAGTACATCTGTATTCAAGAATGAGATAGTCTTGTAAGTCAGAATTACACAGTACAACCATCCAAATTATATTTATTTTAATGCAACAAAAATAAAATTTTGATGTATATAAATTTTTTGGTAGAAAAAATTTTGTTGGGCTATACAGTATAACCTGTTTATTATGAAGTTCAGAGGACTAAAAAATGCAGACTTGATAATAACAAGATTTATGTTGTGGACAAGGATGCCTTCAAGGCTTCTGAGTGGAAGAACCTCATTACGGGGAAGTGCCAGTGCTGTGAGGCACTTCCCCATGATATTAACCAAACTCAAATAAGCAATAACTAACTTAAATCACAGCTATGTTTTCTTCAAGATGGCATGACACTGTGCTGAAATTGTTAGTAAAAACAATTAGAGTATACAGTTTCACTAACAAAGGTATAGTATTTTATTAATGCAAACTATGTTTTAAAGTCATTTGAAAAATAAATTGATATGCATTCACATTGTTTTTGTCTTGTATGTGTTCTTAACAAGATCATTTAACTTGTCAAAGTGACTTAAAAGTTAAAACTCCAAAACCTTTAAACGTCCAGTAGTAATCAATTTAATAATAAACAAACGTTTTCAACCGTACTCTCGGTCTTCATCAGGCTTAAAATCCGTTAGATTCGAACCTGTGCATGCGTAGAACAATGATTATGAAATTAATTTTGAAAATCAACTTCGAAAAATGGAACCGCACAAACTGATTTTAAAGAATACAGTTATGCATGCGCATTGCCATGGCGACGGAATGGCATACGTAATACATACAATTATATAAATATATATAAATATATATACCAAATGGGGATGTTGTCTTTAATTGCTGGAGTGGGCATCACCCGTTACCTCATAGCAGTATTTCCAAGCGTGGGATACATTGACCACATGAATAGCGTTAATGCAATTGGTGTGTAACCCGGCTTTGTAAATTTCCAATGCCTCCAGATTTTGTAGGTGTTCCACCCAATGAGAAATCATTACCTCAACTCAGTTTACAGGGAGATTGCCACCCATACTAACATTAGGATTGCATACAAGAGGCCTAGCACTGTATATGGGCTACTCCGCGGTGGCAAAGACAAAATCAATAAGAAGCAAGCACCAGGTGTTTACATGGTCCCTCTATGGGACAACAGGCTTCAAAGGGAATTAGTTTATATTGGGTCCACAAAACGCTCTTTGAATAAAAGATTGCAGGAACACAAATACGACATCATTAATAAAAGGCACACCACCGCCCTATCAACGTATGCCACTGAACCCAGCATAAGAGCTGACCTACATGAGGCCAAACTGATAAAACTTTCTCATCGGGTGGAACACCTACGAAATCTGGAGGCATTGGAAATTTACAAAGCCGGGTTACGCACCAATTGCATTAACGCTATTCATGCGGTCAATGTATCCCATGCTTGGAAATACTGCTATGAGGTAACGGGCGACGCCCACTCCAGCAATTAAAGACAACATCCCCATTTGGTGTATTTATTTATATATATTTATATAATTGTATGCATTACGTATGCCATTCCGTCGCCATGGCAATGCGCATGCATAACTGTATTCTTTTAAAATCAGTTTGTGCTGTTCCATTTTTCAAAGTTAATTTTCAAAATTAATTTCATAATCATTGTTCTACGCTTGCACAGGTTCGAATCTAACGGATTTTAAGCCTGATGAAGACCGAGAGTACGGTCGAAAACGTTTGTTTATTATTAAATTGATTACTACTGGACGTTTAAAGGTTTTGGAGTTTTAATTTATATATTTCCAGTACTCAAGTGAGAAGATTTTAGTGACTTAAAAGTTCTTGAGAAAAGTTAGGTGTCCACATTAACACATTTTCTAGCAATGCCAGTGAATTCTCAGCACATTTGGCAATAAGCTATAACCTGCTTCTTCTACATCATCATCTATTGTCTCCATTTCATTTTCTTCTTCAATGTTAATGTCTTTTCTGGCTAATTCTTCCTCCTTGGGAATCCTGCTGGTTGTCAACTCATCAATGCAAAGATCAATACTCTAATGGAACCTCCAACAGCACTCTTGCTTAATCTCCCAAAGTGAAAAAAAAGCAGAGAGACTTTCATGGTCTGCAGACAAACAAAAGCACAACAATTATGTCAAAGTCTTTGTCCAGTTCAGACTCACAATGTCCTAAAAATTATGGTACATGCTATCTTTGTACTAACCAACCTGCATACCATATTCTGACGACCAAATTTGCTTCAGATTACATATTAACTGAACATCTTTACATTAAAAATCTGTCTTTACTCAGGAGAGTGGAAAATGACTACATAATAAATGGAACTTCATATCATCCAATATCAGATAAAGTTATACTATATATTAAAACATGATTTTTGGGGCATTGAATCTATTTAAAAATGCCATATCAAGCTTATACAGATACTGCATAAAAAGTAACTGTTTTAAATTATTTTAAAGGGACTTTTTTGATAAAAAAATAAAAAATAAATAGAATCAATTATTTTGTTCTAACTTAACAGATAACAAATTTCTGACTGACAATTTCCTAACAGAAAATAAATATAAAACAATAAAAACTAAGCATAAATAAATACACAAAGATAAATTTTTAACTGATATTTTAAAACTAAACAAAACATTAGATTTAATTAATATCTAACCCTAAGGATTTAAATTTAAATCTTATGTATTTATTAACTTATTTATCACAATTACTTTTTAGTGTTATGTATAACGTCTTCAAAATATCTCACTCTGTTTTTTATATCACAAAACAAAATTAGTTCCCATTTTAAGTAAAATATATAATCTATCTTTCTCTAGATTTACTCTTAACATCAATTATTAACATTAAATAATATAATTAAAATAAATAATTAATAACAAAAATATGTGTAATAAATAAATATTTAGTATAATGAATTACTTACTTATCAGGATGAATAAGTGAACGAATAGCTTGAGCAGCTTTTAATCTTTGTTTTACATCCAAATAACTAGATGGCTCATCAAACATAAATCTAGTCAATTGAAATAAATAAATAAATATTTTTAAATTCAATACACATTAATGTAATTTTAAGAACACTTACATATCAGCTCTTTGAATGCAAACCATAGCGCAAGCAAATCGCTGTAATTCTCCACCAGAAAGATCTTCAACATTACGCCCTCTTACATTTTTTAAATCTGTAGAGAAAATTTCACAATTAACAAATGTTAAACAGAAGATACATTTTAATTTTACTGTAACTTGAACAGAATTAGTTTTTACTGCTAAAATATTTTAAACAGTAAATAATTTTGTATTTAATTAACCTGCCCTACGATGTTCCCGAAAAACGCGAATATTTTCGGGAACATCGCAGGACCTCATTGACCTGCATGGGCGATCCCGAATATTTTCGTGTTTACATCAGAACGTTTTTGATACTAGATGTCGCTATGCATCACAATTTTTATATTAAAACGAACTTATATTTATATAAAAATTGTTTTAAATGATCTATAATTTTTTTAATTCAAGTAAATATGTTTATTTTATGATGAATTAAATACACTTTTTATATGAAATTATGCTTTTCCTGTAATTCCAACACACAAAAACATATATTACATTTCTATTTCTTACATTTATGTTTAAATATTTATTGTAAATGAATTTGTTTATTTTTTAAATTAAAGAATGTCATTATATAATAATATTGAGTTAATATAGGATTTTCTTGATGGATAAGTACGAGAAACAAATATTTAGACCACCCAAAAAATCACCTGTACATTGTCAGCAGTTGCAGAGGTTGCCCTGGTTAGAACACCATTGTTTGAATACTTATCTGCTTCAAAAATAACAATTGCAACTATTCCTAATTTAATTATTTTATATAAAGTGTTGTTATTATTATCAATAAGCAGTCAATTTATTTTAAAAATTATTTAATTATTATTTGTGAGTTTCTGTTAGATTAAAATTTACATGTACATAAATCCATGATACCATCCATCATTTACAACAATATTGTAACAGAATAAAAAATAACTTAATTTTTCTCATATCTGCATAGACTTGTTAGAAAAGATAAAAGTCAGAAAAACAATTAAATTTAAAAGATGAACAAAGTAAATGACAATACCTAATTTTTCACATACAATATCTTGATTTTTCATTTCATCTTTCTTGTCAAGTAGTTGTTGCACTGAACCCTAAAAAAATATATTCAAATTTTTTATTTTTTAAAAGTATTACAATAGCTTCAAAAAAAATTTTTCTAATTAAAAGTTAGTCTCATACAACAGTAATCATCACATCATTTCAGGATGTGAACAGCAGAAATTAGATTTAATCATTGACAACTTAAGTAACTGAATATTAAATAAATATATAAAACTAAGTGAATAATTTTATATTATTAAATATAGTAATAAAGACAAATTATCAATTAATTATATTTTTAAATAAAAAGTGTTAAAATTATGTATTAAACAAATATTATTTAAAAATCAAAATTTCTTCTTTATTTATAGTTCTAATTTATATCTAATGTTAAGAAATTGTTTAATATTTTTTTAGAACTTTTATTGTGGATCCTTGACCAACAATTAAATGCTTTTATAAAATTGAACAGAAATTCAATGGAAATTTATGTAATAGCAAATCCATTAATTCCTATACTAACATAATTATCCTGTATTTTTTAAATATAAATAAGGTCATAAAAATAACTAAAAAATTTTAATACAGTGGAACCCCGGTTAACAAACTTAATACGTTCCGTGACTCCGTTCGTTAATTGAAGCAATTTTTCCCATAGAAATTAATGCAAATGCAATTAATCCGTTCTAGTCTCCGAAATTTTTGTGATTTTATTTGTAATATACAGTAATTTTCTTTGATGAAAATGTAGGAAAATGTAGTATCTATCATTACAGCAACAAACAAGTAAACTTTTTTAATAAAATGGCACTTCGTTTGTTGTAGTTAATGGCAGAAAAGTGGAGATTTACGAACCTTAATGCTTAGAAGGGGGATCCCCTCCAAAAAATAACGGGTAGCACTTTATCAGAAGATTCTTAGAGTCGAAGTCTCTTTTGGTAAAAAAAACCCACCAATGGCTAAGTGATCTTCGTACCTTGAACACAGGGAGTTTGTTTGTGGGTTCGCACCTCGCTCAGATAGGCTGGCCACGTGGAGTTTTCCGGGTTTCCTCCACGTCTGTAATGCCTAAATAGGGGCCAATTTCCCTTAAAAATGCCTCCCAGAAGGCATTTCCCCTAGGCAGATCGCCCAAGTTTTGCATTGCCATAACTTAACAAACAAACAAACTCTTTCCGTAAGAAACAATAAATTGATCTAAAGTTAATTGTCTTACTATTTTAATCAAAATTTTTCTCAAATGCGATAGTGCATTGTCATTTTCTATTGCCACTATGATTTTTTTCTTTCTTGGATGCCATATTGATTAAATATATAAATCACAAAACTGAAAAAAAGAAGTATAGCACAAACACTCAGAAAAGCAATGCTTAGCTCGCGCATGCCTAACACCAACTAAAATTTGACACAAAATACTGTTATGTTCATTATCCGAGACAAAATTTTTGCAAAATAAAAGTTTGTTAACCGATTTGGTCGTTAACCAGGACGTTCGTTAACCGGGGTTCCACTGTATTTCTCTTTCATGTTTGCAAACTAATTTTCATAAAAGCAACAAAGAAAAGCACTGATAGCATATGGACATGACATGTTACAAGCAAGAATTCAAGACAACAGTACAGCCAGCAGACTTCCACAATACCCAGTTCAAAAGCAATGAATGTACAGCAATGAATGAATGTTACCTATATAATACATTTGTATTCAAAATTAAAAAATAAATTCAGAGCTTCCTCTTTATTTCAAAACATATCTGCAAATACCTGCCAATTCTTCAACAACAACACTTTTCTCCAAAGAAATTAAATTATCTGCAACTGAAGAAATTTTCCACCATGTGTCAATTCACCAGACAAATACTGATGTGAATCCCATTGTTTAATACAAAACAAAGAAATGAGTCAAACTAATGCTTTCCCAGAATGAGAATGAATGTGATAAGCAATTTGCTACAAGATTAAGCATCTTGAAGTAGTGTAAATTTAATGCACAATTAAGAATTTTTATTTTATGTATTCTTCAGATTGTCAATAGTGTAAACTCGAACCATATGTGGCAAGTCTACAAACGGCAGGGTCCTACTGTATATATAAACATTCTTTAAAATCAAGCAAATTCCTAATAATAATGTATAAAGAATGCATTTGCATACATAGAAATAGTCAGAAAGATTTATTTATCATTACTGATTAAATGCAGTGTGTCAAACAGTTGAAGAGTTTAAAGAACATTTTTCACAACTATCTTCAATGGCATTTTCCACTTCTTGGTTGCTTTTGATTTCATATTTTTTTTTTTTGTCTAATGTTGTTATTTGCTATTGTTTATTTATGTTAGTTACAATCACCATATTTTTAATTATTTTCGATTTGTTAAAAAAGATGATAAATTTAAAGCAAGCACATATTTTAATATGAAAATCAACACATTCAAACTCATTAAAAGTAAGCTAGTAAAGAGTGTCGTTCTTGTTTAGTGTTACCATTGCTAGTAATAGTGCTGCTTGTCTAGATGAGCAAATATATGGATCATACATGTTTTACAGAATGCATAGAATGCATCACTACCATCATGAAATGTAAAGCAGAGTATTTAAGAATATTTGGTCTTTATTTATTGCAGCTAAGGCTATATTTTTGATTAAAAACAAAACTTGTAAACCCGGAAATTCATAAAGTGGAAAACTCATACTAATTATCAACTTTAAAATATTCAATAAATAGCCTAGGTATACCTGGATTACTTGAAGAACCATAACAAAGATGCAATAACTAAATAAAATTTTGTTATGGTTAAAAAATGGCATGTAACTAAACAAAGGTATATTCTGTGATTTGAATTGTTTCAGCACTATATGTGAAGAGTCTTCCATTAAGTTTCAGAATTTTACATACAGTATTTAAAATAAAACCAAATTCCAAATCACTAGCCTAACTAAAGTCTAAACTGCCAATTATTTTTTAAAGTATATTGTCTGAATTAATCCTGAGCAAGGATTCAAATCTCATTCTGGATCAATCTTTCTTTCAAAATTTTCTAAATTATTTAATTAAAGCTAAAACTAATTTCTAATTATTAATCTTTACACAAGAAATTAGCTTTAATTAATTAAATATAATCTGAAGAATAACTTGACAATTTAGACTTAAATTTGGTTCAAGACAGCAAATTAGCAAACAGTAAACTCATCAGAAAGGATGGCTAGAAAAGGAAGATGGATTAATATATGCCCCACTTTTGGAATTATATAGTGTCTTATTTTTTGCCTAAAAATAAATTGTCTTATCTAAATTGTCAGGTCACAAGAAAAGCAATCTAGGTGTTGAGTATAGTAGAATTTAACATAATAAAAGTCAAAATTAAATTGCATCCATTTTTTCATATAGTAAATTTAAGTTTTTTGTTTTTTTTAAAAATCTTTATATCATATATAAAAGAAAAATTGTAAAAAGTAAACTGAATTTATATAATGATTAGTAATATCATTTTATTGCATTTTCCTTTCCTAAGATTTTATGCTATTTTTATTAAAATAATTTCCATTTCTATTATTCACTGAATTATTTTTCTCTATTGAATATCTTTAATGGCTTAAAACATGCTATAATTGAAAAATTTTAAATTTACTTTATGAATCCAACTTCATTGTTATAACAACTTACACTATTTATAGTACATAATATTTGTAATTATAATGCTAATTTTATTTTATAATTCTGTATAATAAATATTAATAAATACATAAATGCATTTTATATTTTACAGTTTTCATTATAAATATGAATATTTTGTATCTGAGACTTACCTTGACTGCCTTAGGAATTTGGTCCACATACTGAGGTTTTATAATTGCCTTTAAATCATCTTCTAATATCTTAGTGAAATAATTTTGTAATTCAGATCCCCTAAAATATGTAAGAATCTCTGTCCAATCTGGAGGCTCCTAATTAAATAAATAAAATATGAATGGAAACAATTGTGCATTAAAATGTAACTAGAACTTTATTTCCTAAAATTAATAAAAAAAAAAAAGGCTTTAAATTATAGCTTAAATTGTAAATATCAACATAATTCAAACATTAAAACTATATATGACTTATTTGTAAATGATACTATGTTCATTGATACATAAACAAAATTTTGAATATTTCTAACTTCATCCTTTTTTCAAATGTGAAAGTTTTTTACCTTTGAAACAAGGATGACGTTTAAATTCACACTCATAAAAAATTAAACACTAAAAAATGCATTGGAACTGAACAAAACTTTATTAATGCAAACCCAATGATAACATGATTACAGTATCATAACAAACAGACTAATTTCCTCCTGCTTACATGTGGCAATACAATCATGCATGGAAACACACAGGTATTTTATACTATCTTCTGGTGATTTTTCTACTGATGTTGCAAATGCTGTTCCAGATCCCTCATTCTTACAGATGGCCAAAATTGGTAGCCATCTGGTCCCATAAATTCTTGAAGGATGACAAGTATGGAGACTGGCAGAGCTTTCTTTGGCCTGCCCAATGTTACAGACATTTCCAGGAAACACTAGCTGCATGTGGTTAAGCATCTTGCTAGAAAATATCTGTTGGTAGCCCTGCTATAAAATGAAAACATAAGAGAGAACTTTCTGAATATAACATTGTGCCATCAATCTCCCTCAATCTCCTCTAAGACTACTAGAGAAGTCTTATAAGAAGGTTCCTAGCCCAACTTGTCAGCAGTGTGTCAACAGTAAAATTGAATTGAAGTGCTTACAAGTGGTTCCTCACACTAACATCATGGTCACTATTTCCAAATAGAATCAGGATTTGTCACTAAAATTATTGCCAGCCTGTAGTTGTCCATTACTTGATCAAAGCATCATTGTAAACAAAAGTCAATAATGTTAAGATGCTAATGGCAGGACATGTAGTGGTAAATAGCAGAGGTAAATTTGTATGCATGAACATGCATACAAATTTACCTCTGCTATTTGCCTGCCAATGGTATGGGAAGAGACAGGGTTTCATAGCAAGACTTCCTACTGTCTCTGGATGGTTGACAGACTTTGTTGCAGCTGGTTCATGCTGTCTCACAATCACATGATTACATCTCCTGGTGGTCTAGTGGGACATCTACAACCTGGTTGCTCAGTATGTATACTTCATAAAGCCATTGCTCTCAACTTCACCTCAGTCAGTTCAGAACACCCAGAACAATGACAACTTGGCAAACATCCAGACTGCTTCTCTTAGCCCAAAAAATGTGACCTTTCTCAAATGTGTTTTTTAATTTTTTTACAGTGAAAATTTTGAAAATATCTGATGTCACAGGAACTTTTTAAACAATCTGCATAAGTATAGGAAGGGAAGAGCCTATAAAAAAAGGTCAAAACCACCACTGTTGATTGTGTTCTAGTGATTGTAAATAGATGTTTAGAAGACTTCAAACAATTTTTTGTACAAGTCTTTAATAATGTATATTTTTATATTTTCAAACATATATTTTGTCTTGAATTTTCAATACTTTATTTTTTACAATAATTCATTTATGTTGTGTTTGTTGAAGTATATAATAAATAAATTATATTTCTAATAATTTCAATACATTAATTAATTTAAATACTTATAACAATTTTATGTAGAACAAGTAAAAAATTTCTATCATTTAAATCATCTTCAATAAAATCCAAGCATTAAAATTTCCCCTTTGTGATTATTTCAAATCAGGCTCAATAATATAATCCTTTAATTTTAAGATTCTCTACAAGTTTACCAGTTACCTACCATTTTATAAATATATTTTTAAAGGGTTGTGTTTCATATGTTTGTTGTATATGGTTAAGCTGTTATTATCCCCATGACATTGTGTACTATTAATCCCAAATAATAATATTAATACCATAAATCCTCCAATAAATTCTGGGTCTCTTTAAACATTGGCTATTTAGTTTCAATTGCTAGATGTCAAGTTTCATTAAATTCCTACAAGCAGCTCATGAAGCTGTNGTTATTATCCCCATGACATTGTGTACTATTAATCCCAAATAATAATATTAATACCATAAATCCTCCAATAAATTCTGGGTCTCTTTAAACATTGGCTATTTAGTTTCAATTGCTAGATGTCAAGTTTCATTAAATTCCTACAAGCAGCTCATGAAGCTGTGTTCTTCTGTACATGCTGTGGTAATTTTCCCATGGAAACATTTGAAAAATGTTTTTACTACAACATGGGGTGCAACTAAAGTATATGGTAAATACTACATGAGTAGGCTCATATTCCTATATTTTGTTTTAAACTCTGCATTTCAGACAGATTAGTGAACTAGATGTCAATCAGAATAGCAACCAAGAGGTCTTACAGTGTTGCATTCAAATCGAACACAGTTGCAAACACAAAAGAATACTCTGGTTCTTCTCCAGAGTATTCTTTTGTGTTTGCATGAGCCTCAAATTTCCATGCTGCATGGAAATTCAAGGCTCATCCAAAGTGAATTCTATAAATGGAACAAGCATGACCCTCTTAATGCTAACAAGAATAATTATGAAGTAAAGAAGCCAAAAGAAGAAAGGTGTAAATCATAAAACTTTCAGATGGATGGTGTTGCACAAAGCAAGAGAAATCTTCATTCAGTTAGATGAAAGTGATAAATAAAACATGGTATTCACAGATAACAGAGGGGTGACTAGAAAAATTCATGAAACATGAATACAACAATAACATTATAACTACATTTATGGTAGTAATATTGTTGTGTAATGGAGTAATGTAGCAGTACACTTTTCTATTAAATAAAAAATGAAAATTTCTTGTGAATTACCTGCAGTTTTCATTATTTGAGAGAGAGAATGGGTGGGGAAAACCAAAGTGGTGGTGGTGATGGTTTTAGAAAGAAGACTGGACTGCTTTTTTTTCTTTTTTTATCAGTAGTTTGGATATGAAATTCTGCAAAAATGGAATAGATGCTCGGGGCTAAGTATATTCTGTCCAATAGACAACCAGAGTCTATTAGAGAATTTACAATAATTATTATTAAAATAATAAATTTTGATTGAGTAAAACTTACTTGACGATCTTCTATAATTCTTATTTCTAAAAATGCGGGAGTAAACGTAATTATTATTAAAATAATCATAATTGATTGAGTAAAACTTACTTGACGATCTTCTATAATTCTTATTTCTAAAAATGCGGGAGTAAACGTATTTACTTCTTTGTCTTCTAATCCCGTTTCCTATGTAAAATACATTCTTAAATCAATTGTGACGTTACGAAATTTACTTAAGAAAACAATTAATATGAATACGTTAATAATTAATACAATTTTATACGATATTGGTTTACTTTAGTGTTAAAACACTGTAAAGAACTCGTTTAACGGTGGAAACTTTCAGTGCAAATATTGATTTTCAATGGAAAGAAATAACACTCATAAGGGATATTCATCTTTTACTGATATCCAAAGTTCAGTTAATTCCATGCTGCTAAATTTTCTTTTTAACGTATTGTCGCGAAACAATTCAATAAGATTTTCTTCTTCTGCAGCATTAAATTCAGATGGAGCAATGGCATTAAATGGTTTTTGAATCCACGCAAATTTATCGATATTATAATTTTGAAAATATTTCTCAAACCAGGTGGACAGTCTGTGATAAATGTTCTTAAAAAATATTAGAGTTCACACCTCGAGAGAAATCAATTCCATTAGAAGTCAAACACTGTTGCAACAAAAGGAAACATCCTTTCCTCCATCTCCATTTTTCTTTTCCATAGTTTTAATTGTTTTATAAAAGCTGAAATTTTCTCAATCGACTTTAGAAGGTGCGTGTTGCTTCTCTGCAGGGAGAGATTCAAAGCATTCAGTTTTTAAAAAAATCACATAAGTATGCTAGTTTTACCAAAAAGTCTTCATTCACAAAATTTTTGGCATACATGAGGTCTTCTTCTTTAAGAAAAATATGTAATAAATTTCCTATCGCAGTTCAAACGTACGAGACAAAACGTTACCTCGAAAGAAGTAATGTTTTGTCTCGCTCGCTCGTGGTATTGTTTTGTAATTTCTCGAAGTGCTGTAGTACAACAAAGACGTGTGCTCGGATCAATATCCTCTCACAGTTTTTTGAAAATCTTGCCTTCAACGGCCGTTTTTATAAAGTTTACTACATGTACTACATATTCTGGTTCAATGCAGAACTCAGATATTCTGATGCGAGTGCTTCTCTGTGCAATGGGTCCAGAATTCATCAGAGTCTTTGCTTCGAAAAAGTGCTTGCAATCCTCCATAACATCCGGACATAGAACGAGAACTATCAGTAAAGATACCAATGCATTTGATCCGAATTATTTTCGGAAATAAAAATATCAAGGATCTCGAAGTCATACCGTCGATAAGTTATTCAGACGACATGATTTTTTAAGACAGTTATAAACGTTGTTTCACAACTTTTGAAGTGTTATAAGTGTACTTCCCTTGCTCTGTTTCATTGCACTAAACTAAGCTGTTCTACACCGCTTATTTCTGTGTTAGGCGGTAACGTGCATTGGTGAAAAGGAAGAATGGTGGTGCCTGGAGAAAGGAAACAACTGAAGTCTGATATTAGTACTTTTGTTTATTTTTACTTTTTGTAAAATAAAGTAATAAAATGTATTTTATTTATTCTTTATAATTCTCCCAGTAATTATTATTTTTACATCATTTTTTTTTAAAATTTTGTGTACAAACACCGTATACAAAACTTGAAGCATGTAAGTGAAAATAATAATGAGAATAAACAAAGTTTTACTCAAACTAGTAACTAACTAAATGCGGATCAAAGGCAAACCAAACAAATCTGGANGAACCGTGTCAGAGTGAATCCGTGCTATAAGAGTATCGTGTTATACGGGGGATGGTACCAATTCTCGAACCGTGTTAGAGTGAATCCGTGCTATAGAAGTGCCGTGTTATACGGGGGTTACCTGTACATTCTTTAACAAAAAAACAGGTATTTTACAGAAATTCTTATATTCTGTAAACATCTGATATTGTTTTATCAATAACTTGGATAAATTCTAAGAATTTTAATGATTTTAAACAATAATTAGGCAATAAATTTTAAAAAAATTGAAATAAATTTTTCAAAATTTCCAAAAATATTTGGTTTTAGTAGAACAAATTAATTTGCATTGAAAATAAACACAGAAAACTAAAGTACCAAGTAATCTTACATTATAACGTCCAAGATTTGGTTTCAATTTTCCTGCTAAAATTTTCAGAGCTGTTGATTTTCCTATACCATTGGTTCCAACTAAACCCAATACTTCTCCAGGTCTAGGTGTTGGTAACCTAAAAATATTTAGTAATGATAATAAAATTAGAGAATTCATTCTGATAATATGTACTATTATTTTTTTTAACATTTGACTTATATGCAAAGTGTGTATAAAAAATAATGAGGCTGATGCTATAAAAACTTTTATTAACAATTGAACTACAAATCAATATTATTCCTTCAAAGTAGTTCCAATGGAAAACCACACACTGATGGAGACATTGCTCCCCCTTCCAGTTGTAGTGCTAGAAGTCATCATCTGACAATATATTCAGCTGATGTCGTTGACATGACCTCGATGACATTGTGTACTATTAATCCCAAATAATAATATTAATACCATAAATCCTCCAATAAATTCTGGGTCTCTTTAAACATTGGCTATTTAGTTTCAATTGCTAGATGTCAAGTTTCATTAAATTCCTACAAGCAGCTCATGAAGCTGTGTTCTTCTGTACATGCTGTGGTAATTTTCCCATGGAAACATTTGAAAAATGTTTTTACTACAACATGGGGTGCAACTAAAGTATATGGTAAATATGAGTAGGCTCATATTCCTATATTTTGTTTTAAACTCTGCATTTCAGACAGATTAGTGAACTAGATGTCAATCAGAATAGCAACCAAGAGGTCTTACAGTGTTGCATTCAAATCGAACACAGTTGCAAACACAAAAGAATACTCTGGTTCTTCTCCAGAGTATTCTTTTGTGTTTGCATGAGCCTCAAATTTCCATGCTGCATGGAAATTCAAGGCTCATCCAAAGTGAATTCTATAAATGGAGGAACAAGCATGACCCTCTTAATGCTAACAAGAATAATTATGAAGTAAAGAAGCCAAAAGAAGAAAGGTGTAAATCATAAAACTTTCAGATGGATGGTGTTGCACAAAGCAAGAGAAATCTTCATTCAGTTAGATGAAAGTGATAAATAAAACATGGTATTCACAGATAACAGAGGGGTGACTAGAAAAATTCATGAAACATGAATACAACAATAACATTATAACTACATTTATGGTAGTAATATTGTTGTGTAATGGAGTAATGTAGCAGTACACTTTTCTATTAAATAAAAAATGAAAATTTCTTGTGAATTACCTGCAGTTTTCATTATTTGAGAGAGAGAATGGGTGGGGAAAACCAAAGTGGTGGTGGTGATGGTTTTAGAAAGAAGACTGGACTGCTTTTTTTTCTTTTTTTATCAGTAGTTTGGATATGAAATTCTGCAAAAATGGAATAGATGCTCGGGGCTAAGTATATTCTGTCCAATAGACAACCAGAGTCTATTAGAGAATTTACAATAATTATTATTAAAATAATAAATTAATAATACTTATTTTTCAATTGATCTCACTAACACTTTATTCATTTTTGTCCAGCTCAACCATAGTAACAAAACTTTCACTTTTACACTGGAAAATTATTTATATCGGTAACTGTTACAAAACAGTTATAATTTTCCAGCTTAAAGATGAAAGTTTTGTTTTTACTACTTATACTATTATTGATTAAAATTGTATACAGGTAACCCCCGTATAACACGGTAGTTACGTTCCAAAAAATTGCCGTGTTATAAGAATCCGCGTTATGCAAAACAAAGAACTAGTACGAAAAGAAGGGTTAGGTTCCAAAAATTAAAAAACAATCTACTATATTTTCATAATTAAGATAAATATCTTTTTCAATAAATAAAAACACAGTCAATTCCAAAAAATTTTTGTTAAAACTTTGGTCGATCACCTTTTATTTCCGTTAAAATTCCAGGATAAACTTCAGCAACCGGACCTTCCTTTTTAGGCTACACGGTTGCCTATAAACAGTCCTTTAAAATACAGAAATAGTCCAATAAAACCTTGTAAAAAAGTTGTAAAAAATTGGAGTTGGTGATCTTTCGACGTCTTTAAGTTTTCNAAAAAAATATATGTTGTTGTATGAAATATCTGATGATGTGCACTGATTAATGTTGACAGACGTCAAAATCATCAAAAAAACAATATGGCGTCATCATTGTAACTTAATACGCTCGCTTACACCATCTATTAGCAAACAGCAGATTTAAGCTTATACACCTGGTACATAGATGGACACATTGCTCTCACTCCCAATACTGCAACTAGGATTAAGAGCAATGTTTCCATTAGTGTATAGTTTTCCAATGGAACTGCTTTGAAGGGAATAATATTGATTTGTTTCAATTGTTAATAAAATATTTTATAGCAACAGTCTCATTACTTTTTAGATATACTCCATATATATTATAAATTAATTATTTTTGATTGTTGATTGTCATTACAGTAACAAACAATCCTTTAACAACTAAACCAGGGATGGGCAACCCACAGTAATATTTTTTGCAGCCCACGTAAAAATGAATAAATATATCAATTTCCTAGCTTAAGGAAGTATGCAACAAAAATTCAAAAGTTATTTCCTACAACTTATGTATTTGAATAGTTTTTCCGCAATGAATTTAGTAAAAATAAATAAAAAAAAAACTGGCTAACAGACACATCGAAACTAATTTAAAGCTAACAGTGACTAATATTTAACCAAATATTTCCGATATATTATGTTTACATCAGTTCCAGAAGCTAAATTAAGTATATCTATGCTAATTTATAATTATATATGAATAAATAATTGTGATTTACCAACATTTTTTTCCCTGTTTTCTCTTGTATGCAGCCCACATCAGTTCAAAAGTTTTGAAATGCAGCCCTTAGAAAAAGGTTGCCCATCCCCTGAACTAAACAATCCTGGGAAAAATTTTGATTATTAATAAAACAACTAAAGAAATAAAAGACAAGATTTGTGATATGTTAAAAACAAGGATTGAACTAAAATGTAACAGTCAGACCAATGGAATATAAAAGATATTACATCTAAACTAGATAAAATTTGTGATAATACAATGTTAAAAGAATTAAGAATTAATGAATTTAAAATAAAAAAATTTGATTAAACACAGTATGTAAAGATAATTACTAATGTAAAAGCAATTGTCTGTATGTGAAAATTCCTTATAACTCCTTCAATTTTTGTCCAATCCAGATGAAATTTTGGTTATATTCATTTTATGTTCTGATGAAAAATATAGGCTACTTATTTTACAAAAATAATAGAGCTATAGAATAAACATTTTATAGATTTCAGATCAGTGATTGCACTTGCATTGCAGTGATATCAGTGACCATGTGACATTCATGCTTGATGAAGAAATTTCCCTTAAGTTGCATTTTTAAATATTTTGGCAAATGGTGTATTTTAAACTTACTTCATTAAATTTAAAATTTAAACTTTAAAAAACAACAGCCACATCATATCACTTCTATAACAAAATTTTTAAAAATGTTTCTGACCACATGACATTCTACTATCCAATCAGAAGTAATGACCTAAAGACCCTGTTATTTAGAAAGTGTTATCACTAATTTAACTAACATATATACAATTCATCTTTGTTTTAGCAATTCGAAATTTAAAAAACTCACTATTTTGTTGAAAAAAATTTGCCTAGGGGAAAGCGTAAGAGTAAAATTGATCAGATAAATTCTAGATCTAAAAGAATAAAAACTGAGACCTCTGAAGACTGCAAAGTCCAACTTGAGCAACATTGAGTAACAATGGCTTTATCAAAGGCTGAGAAACAGAATCACAACGTCAAGTTCAACTTGAAATTCTTCTCAATTCTTCAATATCTATTTTCTCATAAAAAATATTCCATCATGCTTGATGGTAGAATTTCTAGTAGAAATAATAGTCTTGTAATAAGTAAATATTGGTTAAATTATAAAAAATGGATAAATATAGTAGGTCCATTTTTAGAAACCAATGAATTAGAAATAGTAAAAGCTAATAAATCAAAACAGCTTGTTTTAGTTTCTAAGAATTGGGTTCATGATAAAAAAACAGGAGTTTGTAAGTAAATTATATTAAAATTATGAAGTGCAAAATGACAAATGTATTTTATCTTCACAAAAATAAATAGTTTAATACAATAAAAGCAGTCCATGAAGTATGTTTCAGATAATTAAAATTATCATCATTAATTTCAATAATCAATAATAAATAAATAACTGGAAAAACTGAAAAGCCATTTCAAGACAGCATTGAATAGGAGTACTTTAATAACAATCAATCAGTACATTACAACCTGACAGAAAATCATTTAAAATATTCAAAAAGCTATAGATTAAACAGCCATCAAAACATTTTAATAGGTTTAAGTTTTATTCTTAAGTTTCAGTAATGTATTAAGTCATATGATACTCAGAAAATTTTCTCAGTATCATATGACTTAATAATACTTAACATGAAAATAAACAAATAGTAAATACCACATAGTACTATATTAACTCTTCAAATAGCACTTAACGCAGACATTTGAGGAAGTTTTTGTAACCTTATTTTTTTCTGAATTAATTTATTAAACATTTTATAAACAGAATTATATAAAACTTAAAATTATAATAAATTTAATTCCAACTATTAGTTCATTTTTAAATTAAGAAATAATTATCATCAAAACAAAATTATTATTATTTTTTATTTCTATAATAAGATACTGAATTTTTCAAATGACAAAATAATATGCATTTTCAATATTAAAATAGACTAAAAATTCAAATATTCAATGCAGATTAATGTATTAAAAATACTATTCTTAGAGCTAGTTACATGAGTTACCATTTAATCTACAAAATAATTATCTGTGGAATAAATTTAACCTTGTCATTTATCTAAAGAATAAGTTACACTCAATGCACAAGTTGCTTTGACTCGACAGATAGCTATCATCCAGTTAATTAACTAAAATAATTACTATTGCCCAATTGTTTCCAAAAGAAATAACAAACAAGATGGAGAAGAAAAACAAATCTATAAGTGAAGGCATGAAGTGGAATGAAGTATAAACAAAAATATATATTAAATTTGGTAGATACTATCTACAATATTTTGATACATATACTTTATGAGAAATGATTAATTATTTAATATACAGGGTCTTTATAATTAAAGTTCCACTTTAAAATGGTTATAAAAGGTAAACAACTGGACAAAATGTTATAAAACTTGGTAATAGTTTACAGGAAGTCATGGGATTTTATTTCCCCCCTCAAAAAAAAAAAAAAAAAATAGTTCAAAAACTTATCATCAGCGGGGACTGACACTATGCAATATTGTTAAATGAAATAAGACAAGATGACATCAGTTGAAAATGTTTTTAACTGTTTCTAAAACATGTTACAAAGCATGATCAATGTGGCATCCACCATTTTCTGAAAGCAAGTTAAATCACATTACTGTGTTCTCAACAGTAGCTCTTAGAATATCATGAAGAATGTTAGACATGTAAGTGTATCACATTTTTCAATTCTACAAAATTGTTCATTTTCATTTTCAGCCAATGTCTTCATGTCATGTTGTCATCAAATTTTTTTATTTTAAATTCATTAATTCTTAATTCTTTTAACATTGTATTATCACAAATTTTATCTATTATCATTTTATCATTTAGCAATAAAATAAATTAAAATAACTTACTGGAATATAAATACTTAAAATAATCAAACACCTTAGTACTTCCAGCAATGAAGTATTTAATTTAGCAACGAAGTATTTCATTTAACAATATTGCATACAAGCACCATTCCCCACTGGTGGTGAGTTTTTGAATTATTTTTTGGGGGAAGGAAATAAAATCCCATGGATTTCCTTTAAACTATTATCAAATTTCATAACATTTTGTCCAGCAGTTTTTCTTTTATGGTCATTTGAAAGTGGAACTTTAATTGTAAAGACCCTGTATTATAATTATTATTTAAAATGAAGTTTGCTTAACTCTGACAACTGACATAAAACTTTAGCCTTTTAAATCAAAATCGATTCTTAAAATTTGAAACTGCTATACAACATTTAAGGTTCTCTTTTTAAAAATATTCTACCATTAAGAAAAACTTCATTTAAATAGTCAAAATAAAGTTTATCCATATCAAAATCAGAGCAAGTCAGTCAACTTGGACTAATCTACAGAATAAATTTTAACCACTCACAATCAACCTGTTAATTTAAATACAGTTTATTCCAAAGATTTACATTCTTATAATACTTTGAGGGTAATTCTGTAGATTAAAGTACTGTACATTTAACTTAGCAATTAAAATTCAGCCCTAACTCTGGCCCTTAATGATTTTTAAATTTTAATAATTTAATATTACATTTTATAAATAATTTTAAATTAATAAAATGACTAAATCCATTTTAATAATTAATCAAGACATACTTCTGTAAGAATTCAGATTAATGAAATAATAATTTACAAATCTGCTAATTCAAAAAATTTAGAACACAAAATTTATTACAAATATCTCATTTTGAACATGTCTTAAATAATTCACATTAATGATTTTTAGCATAATTTTGCATAGATGTCAGATAAAATATTAAATCACTCCAATGTGAAAATTTTTACACTTTTAAAATATATTAAATATCTTTTCAAATTTTATTTATTTATAAACAAACCAACCTGTGTAATTTAAAAGAATTTTGACTATATCTGTGGGTTGTATCTTTTTCCAAATTACTAGGAAGATTAATAATTGATATAGCTTCAAAAGGACATTTCTGAAAAAAATAAAAAATATTTTAATTATTAATTTTACAAAAACTAAAATAGCTGTTTGAAAGGATGAGGATACTAACTCCAACCATGAGCAAAAATATACACAATTTTGCTTGTCATAGTGAAACTTATCCCCATCCAGTATAAAAACATTTCTGAAAATAACTTTTCAGCGGACACTCTTTCATTAATTTCTGATTCTTTTTTTCACATTATTAATGGAAATATTTTTGTAAATTAAATTTTGGTCAGGAGAACTGATGTCATTTTCTTTTGAATAAAATAACAAAATAAACAAGATCATCTCTTACAGATAGAAAAAAAAAATTAAAAATTACATTTGATTAAATCTAATCAACTTAACTTGCATTCAGAAATGAATACCTCACTAAGAAGGTATTTACACAAAAAATGCTGTATACCAAGAGATTTGATAAGTTTTATAATAATATACCTTTTATGTAAATAAATTTATTTGCTTCTTTATTTTCTTTATCTATTTGTAATTGAACAATTTTTTACAGCAAATATTTTGCTGGGTACAGCTAGTACATACAAATTCTGCTTATTAGAATTCATAAGTACAGAATTCTACTCCCTTTCATGAAAATCATTTAACTATATAGTATAATTACATTTATTTAAATTATTATTATTTCATTAAAAAATGCATTTTCCTACTTTTACTAAAAAGTGATTTAAATTCAAAATATAATTCTTGGCTATCAAATCAATTATAAATTTTATTTATGTATTACATATATATTTCAAATTAATTACAATTAAAGTATTAAGTTAATACTATAAAATATATTATTATTATTCACTAATTTTATTCATATATTTTCTGACTTAATCATAGATAAATTTTATACTCTCAATACATTTCAAGTTATTCTTAGTATTGTTTTGTAATAGTAGAGTTACTGGCTAAACCTCGAAAAAAACCTTTTAAAATGCAGCAATTTTATTATCTTTTTGAATGTTTTTAGTCATTTTCAACGACCTTTCTCAAGAATAACAAAAATCAACTGAAAACATTTGAAAACATAATAAAACAGCTGCATTTTAAAAGGTTTTTTGAGGTTTAGTTGTTTTTACGAAGTGCAGTTTAGAGAAGAGTTACTGACTTAACTCTAAGCTCAAAAAATTTCTTTCTTCTATGTAACTGGAGAGAAAACTGTTTTACCCTTCAGATTATGAGAGGAATTTGTGTAACAAAAGCAGTCAAACAACTTACCCTTTAGCTGATTTTGTCTTGAATGAATTAATGTGATTTTGGCCAATCTCAAGTTTAAAAAGTTAAACTGATGAAACTGCACTGATAACATCTCAGTACTTCCCTAGTATTTTTCCACAAAGCAATATTTATATTACACATTTCCTTTATTTTAATTCAGCCTCAATTTTTTCTATACTATATTTAACATCCAATTATTTCTGATCATAAATTACACTATACCTTTACACATATACCACATCCTATACAAAGTTCTTCAGAGATAGCTGCAATCTTGTCATTTGGAGTTACTTCGATACATAATTTACCTGAAATAAATTTTTAAAATTTTAATCTTATATTTATGAATCTATAATTAAAACAATGTTAAAATGAAATTTAAGATTTCACAAGAGAGAGATATAAAAAATTATGATTTATGAAAGTGCATTATATAAAAATTCACAGATTAAGAAAATTATTCTGTAGTAATATATTAAACCTTGGAATACATTCCTCAAACGCATAATTATCCATGTAACACATTTTCAACTAATATTATACAGATATATTAAAAATTGAAAAAATTTATAGAATAAGGTACCTAAATTAAATTTTGATGTTTTTAAGAATTCTCAAAAAACTGTTCTTTTTGCATGAAATTTGTTAAGAAATGAGTAAAGTGTAAATATTAAATATGCTTGATTAAACTGCATATTATAGAAAGGAGACAATCCAAATCCATAATTGATAAGCATAATAAAACACTTAATTAAAAAAGTATATATGATACCTTATTCCATAAAACTTCTCAATTAAATTTTTCATAATTAATTACATATGATAAAATGAAGTGAAATTTACCTATGAATATTTTATGTAAAAACTTATTTTCTGAAAAACTTGAAAAGAAAGTTATCTGTAAAATATAGTTCAAAAAACACTGATAATATGCAAATATTAATGCAATTTAAATTGATATTACTTCTTGAACTAATAACAATTTTTACTGCACTTGAACTAAGCTATTTACATACTGCATTTTATGCATTACATTTATCATGTGATCAAAAATAAAAATGACTACTGTCTAAATTTTTTTTTATCATTTGTGTTATTTCTACTTTATATATCAAATAAATAATAATAATAAAAGTAAATGCTTAAAATAATCTTGAAAAAATTTCAATGTTGATAATATCTAATGATATGGGTTCAATAGTTAATTTGTTCAGCTCATATTCACTGTAAAGAAGAACTTTACATTGAAAAATACATGCATTTATTTTATTAATATTTACTTTTTTTTATTACAGATTATAAAAAATTAAGATAGTTTAGCTCAAAAATAAAACTAATTCTTAATTTTATTTTATTATTTAAATAGATAATGTAAGTGTTTAAATTTATTCATGTTAAAAAAATTATGCAAAAAGTCTTTTAGTTAACATGTAATATTAAAAAAAGCAAGAATTCAGAGTAGAGGTGAGCAACAGGTTGTTCTAATAATCGCAAAAAAAAATTAATCATTAGATGACACACAAGTACCAGAACATGTGTTTGTCCTGTTAAGGATACAATGTTAAGGATACAATGGTAGAGTGGCAAAGGGTACAATGTTAAGTGTACACTTAACATTGTACCCTTTGCCACTCCACCATACCTGAACTATGGAACCTTTCTTAAATCTCTCTCTTCAATGGCATTATCTACAAGAGCTTTAATTTAATACCTGAACCATATTTAGACCCAACCATTCATTCAAACTAAGTCTTACAAACTCAAACCCTCTTTAAATTAATATGTAGATTTCATTTTGCTTATTTTATAATTACATCTATAATGAACTGCTAAAATAAACAGGAAACAAATGAAATGCTTAAGACAATATCCTCTAACATATACTAGTGTTGTGTTTTTAACAGCCACTAAGACATGCAGTTTATATGAACATTTCATTTCTGTTCTAGCAATATTTCATGGTATACACACTGATATGTTATCTACAAAAAAAGTTACAGTAATTTAACTAAAATGATATACGATTTAATTTTGAAATAATCCTGAGAAAAGTATGTATGAGAATTGGTTTTGTTCTTGATGAATAGGCACTGTCAATTATTCTAAAATATTATGTTTCTTCACAAAGATTATTATCTAATAAACTTAAATTATTATCTATTAAAAAGCTTCTTGTCTTTATTACTAATTTTACAAAATAATACTCATAGTTAACTAGAACTAATGAATCAGACTTTTAAACCTGATTCATTAATTCTAGTTAACTATTATTTTGTAAAATTTAATTATTAAAAATAAGAAAAACAAAATTGTTACTAAAATTTAAATATTGGTTAGGTGTAATTGACTTGTCTAGTTTTGCTAAAGATTACAACTGTATTTATTTTGCTATGGGTTGTGCCAAATTGTATTCAGGACTTAGATAACTTATGATAAATTAATTCATACAATAAACAAATTAACTGCTTGATTCACTACCTTAATTAATCAAATCACATCTGAAACAATTTAATAATACAGTCAAAAATATCTTACCCATTCTAACAACTGGACAAGATTTCTTACATTCCTGTTTACATCGTTTTGGCTTACACTTGTCACTATTAACTATTGCAATTCGAGTTAATTTATCCTGTGTTGCCATTTTTCTAATATTTCTTTATCAAAGAATGTCAAAACTATAAGAAACAATAAAAACTGAATTATTGAATTATATAAAATTAAAATATATACATGTAATTTAATTTGTTATGCATTATAATTAACTATAATTTGATTCTTTCTTGCAGATAAGTTTAAATCAATTCTAATAAAAAAAAACTTAATTGATACAGGGTCCAGCAGGAAAATAAGTGATCCTAATAGATGTTTATTAATTTTGGAATATTTATTAACAAATTTTCATGTGCAAGATTTCAAACAACATAGTTTGTCTTTCATGTTTTGAAGATGACATCATTGCAAGTGATCCTCATTCATGTGCAAACTCCCTTCAGCTCTTCAAAATGTTTCATGCATAGAACAGTGCAACATATTCTCAAGTATGTTACTGATTGCATGACAAATTTTTGCCACAAAAATTTCAATATTTTGTGGACAAAAAGCATGATATATGATCATCCATCTCATATATGGAAACAGATTTAAAAAGTCATTGGAAACTGATAAACAGAAATGGTTATTTTGTCACCTGGCTTGTTCATCTGGTAAATTGACATGTCAAAATATTTAAATTGTAAAGCTTCATTCCCATTAGTGGAAGAGTAATACAGAAATAAAGATCAGAAATATTTTCTTATTTCTGTAGCATAGTATTTCTGCTTGCAACAGTAAAAAGTTAAAATATTTTTTCACATGTTTTTCTGGATAGAGTCCAGAAAAACATGTGAAAAAAATATTTTAACTTTTTACTGTTGCAAGCAGAAATGGTCCACCAGTGGCCAAGTGGCTCCATTCCCTGAACATCAGGAGCTCAGTTGTGGGTTTGCACCTCACCTGGGCCATTAGTCTCGAGTTTTTCGTGTTGTACTCGAACTGACATCATCGAACTCACTCGTGTTACTATGACTCACATAATCGGTAGTCTCGAGGTAGACCCTTCGAGTGAACTCGAAAGGCGAGCGGAAGTAGGTCATATTCACTTGTTTACGTTTGTCGATAAGCATGATGGGATTATTTACAATGCATCTGGGTTTGCGACTATAATGATTCGACCAATCAACTTAACTGTAACAAGTTGTAAACAAATCAACGCGAATTAGTTTACACGTGCTACAGTTAAAAGTTGTCTTGTGGCAATATAGTACGCAGAAACAAAATGAAAACCTCGAATGTTTTATTTTAAAAAATAAGCGAAGAACAAAAAGAAATATTAGTAACATATATAGAAAATAATAAGAAAATGAACAGCGGAAAATTCGACAACGAATTTACAAGAAAAAGACAATTCGCTTTGTGGAGAGAATTACTTGAAAAATTAATTGCGTGTGTTGAACCTAAAAAATCCGTTATGTAATGGAAAATGTATTTAAACTTAATCCTTTCTTCATATAGTTTTCTTCCTTGATCTATTTCTTAAATTGTTTTGTCTATTAAGATTATTTATTAATCAGAACTTAACACTTCTGATTAATAAATAATCTTAATGTAGTGTCTATGCTTTTAATAATCTATACATATAATTTACTATCATTTTAATACTCTTTTTCGATGAATTAGATACTTCTTTTTATTTTTAGAAAAATTTGCTGTATACATTTATCAATTATGAATTAAAGTTTTTTTTATTAGTATTGACTTGACACGAAAAGAAATGTCATCTACTCGTGGTCGAAAAATTCGTTGCCTTCTCAAACAACGTCTTTCGGCTCTTTCTAACTCTTCGATAGCGATAAGAATTGCGTATCCGTCAGCCATTTTTACTTTCGTGTAGCGATCTCACATGCTCGACTCAACGTGAGTAGCAACTCGCATGGTGAGATGGGAAAGCACGTGAGTTAGAACTCGAGACTACCAATATGACGTCAGTGTGTGAGATGGTACCACATGACACCTTCAACACGTTGGGAGTTGTAACACGAAAAACTAGAGACTAAGGCCCCAGGATGGGCTAACCACATGGAGTTTTCTGTGTTTTCTCCACGTCTGTAATGCCTGAATAGGGGCCCATTACCCTTAAAAAGACCTCTCTAAAGGCACCCCCCCTAGGCAGATCACCCAAATGTTGTATTGCCATAACTTAGCAAACAATAACAGGAAGTTGCTAGCCAATAAAAATGAAGACTGTTCTGATATTTACAGACCAACAAGGCAGATACAACAAAACAAAATATTCACTGCTTACAAGGAAATGAAAATATACTGCTATATTAGAAAGCTTCCTGATAATTTAACTTTTAAACTGATACATAAAAGGTTAGGAATTTAAAGTATTTATGCACTTTATGTCAAAAATTTACTAATGAATTAACAAGAAAACAACTTGCTAGTGCTTTATACACACATTATCAGACAGTATTAAAATATTTTTTATAATGCAAGTACTTTCAACAATATAAAATTGTCATCAGGTTAGTGAACAGCTCGAATTTGGAACAGAACACACTATGTGCAGTACAACATTCTCAACATTTAAACATTTCAAATTCACAACAGAATTTGAGGCTTGCAAGTACAAGAAAAAACAAAATCTTAAAACTGCACATAGTAACAATCTGTTACAAATTCAAGATGTTCAACCAGCTGCCTGATGACAATGATTTTGTATCATTGAAAGTACTGTACTTGCATTATAAAAAAGATTTTAATACTGCCTGACATTGTGTGTATCTAGTATAATATTTGGTGAAGTTTAACATTGCTATTGCTTTCAACAATGTATTGATACAATCTTCAGGCTAGTTCAATCAAATGCTGAACACCATCATTACAAATTTATTTCATTTTTGAAACAATTCTAGAATGGAATACAGAATTTCAAACAGCCAACTTTAACACATAAAATCTGATTATTTTTTGAGCTAGGTTTTAAATTTTAACATACAAATACTAATGAAATGCACAATACAAGATTAAATTGTTACAGTGCTTGAATCTTTATAAATTATAACTAGCTACACTTACAAAAATAAAACATGTATACCATAGCGTATAAGTATAAAACTGGAGCTAATAAAAGATATTCAGAAGGTTGTTAACACCTATGCTGTTCACTATTGTCTTGAATAGTGAGATTGATGAGTCAAGCAAATGACATGGCTACAGAGGCTTATGATTGTGATATGCAGTCTCCCAAATGAACAAAATGCTATGTTCCATACACAAACAGAGAAAAAGACATCCAACAACAAAGGTTCACTGCCAGGCTCCAGAACTCCACACAATTCCATGATTATTGTCTTGAGTTCATGGTTTGTCTGTCATGTTTGATATCATCCTGATGCTCCATTAACCTAGTTGAAAAGCATCCTAGACTTTGCTCCAATGTACAGAATTGTGATAGCATCAGAACCTGATCTTAACAGAATTTGGTAAATCCCCAATCTCTCGAGAATAGTGTGTGGATCTCTATCATTACATACCACCCTCTGTAAAGAGCTGTGGTTTGATGGGTAGATAGTACTCATATTTTTCAAATAAGAAAATAATTGAGTCATCCCAGTTTTGGAACTCCACATACCTAAAATGCCCATGGAGCTTGCCTTCAGAACTTATCACAAATTTGATTTGCCCCTTAATTATTCCTATCATATGTTTCCAGCAATCTCAGTATTTAAATGCAGCCACTAGTCTTTATAATATAGAGTGTATTTATTTCCTTCCTCTCAATTTCTTGTAAATAAAATGGAATTTATTAAGACTGTAATTACAAAAATTGGTAATAGTATGCACAAGTTTCCAGATTGTGTTTTTGAATTCTGCCACATGAGGGTGTATGTCTTAGCAACCATTAATATACTACTAGTTGTTAGTTTAGGTCTGCAATTTTTAGTTTTTCATTGGTGTCATGCCTTATAAAACCAGTTCAGGTAGATATTATGCAGTGGTTGGCTGTGATAATGGCCTGTGTGTTCTTTATAAGTGGTTTGAAAGCTGTACGCATAATGTACAATATACAAAAACATGATGCATTGAGATTGTCCATGTATTCAACCAACCATTCAATAGATTCATTTCCATGTGATAAAAATTAAGAAGAGAATGGGTAACCAGCCATCCATGTACGTACAGTACATCTAGCTAGATAAATAACTTTGCCATCATAAGACACAATGTCCATATAAAATGATTACTTGAAAATAGGGTTTGTGACGGATCTACATTTGTCTTAAGGACATAAGTGTTTTGTGACAATTAATTAATTAAAATGTCACCTATTTTACCACTTGAAAAATAATTATAAGAGTCAAAACTTCTATTAATAAGCATTTCTTGGTAATCATCGGTTTTATTTTTAATATTCAAATATAGCTGAATATTCCAAAAGGTGGCATTCTCTCATGTCATTATTCCAAGATTTTATAGTACTAATTGATGAAAATAAATTTAAAAATACAAGTTTGTAGAAGAAACTATGCAAAAATCCAAATTTTGCATTAGACTTAATTCTATAATATTCTGTGAATATTTTGGACTATTTTATGAATTAAATGGTGATATAAATATTTCCTGACAGATGATAACAGTGGAATATTAGTAAAATTACAAAAGCAAATTTTGCCAATTATTTTCTAGAAATAAAAAAAATAGGATTGACGTTTTCTTAATTTTACTTTAAATTTTTACCAGTTTTAAAAGATATTTCTCCACAATGCATATAGCACACTTTTTTTTACATTAAAAAACTTTAAATTTGTGTAAAAACAATTGAAAATGCTCTTTATAATTTAAGATATAAAAACCCTTACAATTACTAACAAAGTGGACGTTATGAACAAATTTCTATTAGTAATTTCAAAATCAATTATATTTTCAATTCTATAATTTTGCAGTTCCATAGTTCTTCAGTATCTTAATGGTGGCACAATGAGATGCTACAGTATGGGAAAATACATGAACCTTCTCTGATAACATGTGTATACATCATCATCAGGCTAGGAACTTTAAAACTGTTTTCTCAATGATCATCTTGGTTAAAATGTGTACAAATGTTTCCATCCTACATCTAGGGCATGTTACTTTACACCTCAACTCACCTGTTTAACTCTAAATTCTGAAAACATTTTCTATTCATGTACATAAAGACGATTGTTTTTACCCTTCAGGCTATAAGAAGAACTAGTATAAAAAAAAATCTGTCAAATAGCTTTTCCATCAGACATCAATTTCATTTTGAATGAATAAAGCCAATTTTGGGTTTAATGAGTTAGAAACATGGATACTATCTATTCATCAAACCACAGCTCTTTAAGAGGGCGGTATGTAATCATAGAAATCCATTCTCAAAAGATTGGGGATTTACCAAATTCTGTTAAGACAAGGTTCTGCTGCTACCACAATTCTGTACATTGGAGCAATGTCTAGGATGCTTTTCAACTAGGTTAATGGAGCATCAGGATGATATCAAGCATGACAGACAAACCATGAACTCAAGACAATAATCATGGAATTGAGTGGAGTTCTGGAGTCTGGAACCTTTGTGGTTCACTGCCAGGCTCCAGGTTGGATGTCTTTTTCTCTGTTTGTGTATGGAACAGCATTTTGTTCATTTGGAAGACCCTGCATATCACAATCAAAAACCCCATAGCAATTCTATCTGCTGGACCCATCAATTTCACTCTTCATGGAAGAAATGAAACAGCTTAGATATTAACAATGTTCACTTTCCCTCTTCTTATCCCCCTCTGAATATCTTTTATTACCTGCAGTTTCATATTTGTACACTAGAGTACACCATATCTTAGTTTTGTAAGTTTAGCTAGTTATAATTTATAGTGGTTCATGTTCTCTAATACCCTATTCACACTGTATATTTTAAGCCAGCCTAAATGACTAACGGAACTGACTTAACATTAAACAGGTTTAACTACCAACAACCGGCTCAGCTTAAATTGCTTTCTCAAAGAAGCTTAAGTCACTTCAAGCTTTCCTTGAGGTCCGCCACAAGTTCAAAAATAATGGCGGAAGCAGATGTACAAATGTTCGAACAAACGAAACTCTTCTCTGATAGCATGTATACACTGCTTCAGTACAAAAAGTTTAAATAATAATAATAATAATAATATAAATTTCTGTCAAGAATCCATTCTTATCACAGTTCTATCACTAAAGTGATATAAACATTGAGAGAATTGTGCTGCCAACGACAACAACATCACTAATAATAAATGTTAATAATTCTTAACTAACGTCTTATGCATTTTAAATAAGTTATTTATATTTTAAATTTCTAAATATAAATTAATTTATCATGATTTATCAAAAATAAGCAAAAGTTTGATTTTATTTAAAATGTAATATTGAGTATACCGGCTTGAGGGCTAAGTGAATAATTCACTTTAATTACTTAGTGTGAACAAGTAGTTAATCTTGTTTTCGGAAATGCGACTTAACTTAATTTTGCTTAAACCTTAATCCTGCTTAAAATGTACAGTGTGAATAGGGTATAACAATTTAATGCAGATAAAAACGCTCTAATTTTGAAATTATCCCAGCAGACTGATGAAAATCCAGAAAAACAAATGTTTTCAGTCTACATCTAAGACCTGCTAACAATTTAATCTTGCATTGTGCATTTAGCTAAAGTTTTATTCAGGGATCGCACTGCATAGTACCAAAATTACACTTGGCAATATTTTTATTAAAGTGGTAATAGTTTGCTTATTTCAGCATTCAGCATAAAATTGAATCACAAAGCATACTTCAGTAAAAACAGAATGTCTACTCCCATGCACCACACATGTAGCAATTTCATGACATCAAACAGCAGTTTGGACAGAAAAGTAGGAAGTGATGTTGAGAACTGAAGACAGTTTTCATGCAATGCCACAAACATTTCCAGAGTGGGGATTTTTTATCGATGACAGAAAATATGGGAATATTTTGGGGTGACTTTTTTCACTTTGATATATTTTCAGTAGACTAAAACAAAAAATTTGACATGACAGAACATGTAAAATACTATTTGAACATTGTGATCAAATGTGTTATTTGGAATTACAGTAGAGCCTCGATTATCCGACCCCCGATTAACCGACCCCTCAGTTAACCGACCGTCCTAGTCGGCAAATTTCAAATGTCCGCTAGTGATGTGGCGTTACAATATTTGGCTATGTCTTGGCTACTTTAATATTACGTGTTTTAGCTGGCAACACTCATTCGACCATGAAAGGGAGCCAGTATTTAAACGAGGCTTAATTTTCTAATTTTTAACAATACAATAGCGACGATTATTATTTTAAAAAATTTTTGTTAGGCTTAACATCGATGAAAATTCAACGC